GAGGTTGCCCGGGTGTCGGGCCATAGTATGGAACAGTGACCTCCTGCTGCCTAGGTGTCAAGGGCATGCCTTGGTTGATATCCTGGCGCTGGTTGTTCTCTTCAGGATACCTTTGATTGTCCCCGGTGTTCCCCGATTGGGCAGGCCCTGATATGTTTGGTCTTTCACGTGTGGGAGGCTGACGTGACGGTTGCCCTGATGAAGGGCCATAATATGGTATTGTGTTCTGATTTCCTGGTCTTTCTGGAGAACCTTGCGAGTTTCCCGACTGACCAAGAAGTTGTTCAACTTGCTCTTGTGTTAATATGATACCGCCATTGTTTTCCGATTGACCATTTCGCTGAGGATACCTCTGAGGAGCAGCATCATTACCTCCAGGCGTAGGTACTCGCGGATTGCCTCTTCCAGGTAAAGCATTCGGTCTAGAGGGATCATAAACTGGTCTGCCTTGTACCCCTTGAGGTGCGCCCTGTACATTAGGTCGTTGTGGAAGAATGGTTTGTTGCTGACCGCCATTGGGATAAATCACAGGAACACCTACGATTTGTCCTTTGGGTACACCTCCAGGGTTCTGCTGACTGTTGTCAAGTGGCGAAGAAGGATTAGCGTTGAATCCTTGTATCCCGCCACCACTTGCGTAAAGCGACCCAAGATCCATCGACGTAGGTCTCAAAGGTCTACCACCAAACAGACTGTTGTTTCCTATGTTCTTTAACAGAGCATTGATATCAATATCTGAAGGCTGTCGAGATGCTCCTGCTCCTTGTCTACCGCTGTTGTTTCCAAAGAGAGCAGAAAAGTCAACATTACCGGAAGGCCGTGGATTCCTGTTGGAATTGGGGTCCGGGTATCGTCCGTACTGGGCAGATTGGGGATTCCTACCATCCAACAAAACATTTCCATTTGGCCTGGGTTGGACAGTAGGATGATATGGTGCATTACTGCCATGATCCACCGTTTGTTCAGAATCACCACCTCTGCTCTTGCCAGCCCCGCGTTGTCCTTTACCTTCATCATTGTTACTTGGCGGATTCTGAGGCTTCCTTTGATCATTGTTATTGGGTACATACCGTATGTCCCTAAGGTATGGTCCCTCTCGGCCATATGGTACATATGTTGCGGGTTTTCCCTGCGTGTATGACGGCACCGTTGGTTGAACTGGATGTCGATAAGAGTAAGGATTAAAGTACCCATTGTATGAAACACCGTACCTGCCATACGAAAACGGTTGTCGTCTATACAGGAAAGATGATGAATATCCATTACTAGGTCGATAATTAGGATTAGGAATATCCTGGCCATCATACATCTGTCTCCTGGGATAATATCCACGGCTTATATGTCTGTTATATCCAGTAGGTTGGTTATTATTCAGGATCCCAGGTGTCGGGTTAACGGACAATGGCCTCTTCATGGGATATAGGTAATCATTGTGAAGAGAGCCAGTGGCAGATTGTCTGTCGGAATTCACAGGACTGTTTCCATATGCATGCTTGTACCTTTGTCCTTTAAGAGTCTGTTGTTGGTCAGCTGCACCATGTCTTGCCTTTGCACTGGTGTCTTGGTAGGTGTATTTTGTAGGAGTTTGTGCTGCAGCACAAACAGCCACAACAAGAACTGCCAAACACACTTGAGACAGAACCATAGCTCCTGACTTGATTTTGCTATGATAAAGAGAAACGGAACTTCTTTCAACTTTATATTCAGTCATGTTTGCTTCCCGTTTTGTGTGTCCAGAGGTGACGCATGGTGTCAACGGAGTCAATAGACTATTTAACAACGTATATAGCTTCGCCTCAGATCCATTTTCACCTCATTAGTGTGTTTATAGAACGACGCAAAGATAAATGTCATATGTCCTGTCAAATAAAATGTATGATTAACCATGACTCTCCCAAGATAGTTATTTCCAAGTAACGACAATAAAACCAGTTCGTATAACCTGTGGGGGAAATCAGTATACTTCAAAGATTCCTCACTTTCATTGAACACTGAGTCTTCTGCAATGGTTTTACATAATATTTTCCGTTTTAAACATAAACATAAACCTAAACATCATTCCAGGCTTTTTATCAGTTTAGCATGTTGGTGCAAAAGATCCTCAAGCTGTTCTAATGTTATTCTTGGTTGGAAAAAGTTATTCCATCGTAACGTCCTTCTCTCAACGTATTTGCCTTACTCAAATTTACTTTTGAGCCTCGGTTCATGCTATCAATGGGTATTGTGACTTACTAAGCACTGTAAACATATTTTTTTTAAATTAAAATACCTTCAAGTCACTATATATACCTACACGTGTAGCATAATAGATACAGGTAAATGTCGACCCATTTATCTGGTATTTTGAGACTCTTAATTTTTGTTAATGCAATGATATGCAGGAAATGTTATCCAGTTCTGTGCTTGTTATCCGCTTCCTGAGACAAGTTATGAAGTGTTTGTGTACTAGACGCACGCGAACGCACGCACACACGCGCGCACACACACTCATACATAATTATAATTCTAACTATCAAATAAATAAGAGAGAGTGACTTTATGATCTCTTTTAATGGAAACTGTCAATGACCTCCACAAAGTATCTTTCGCGGGACCTCCAAGTAACTCTGAGTTTCCAAGCTCTTTGCATTGCTATATTTGTTAGGATGAAACACGCTTGTTTATCTTTCAGTCAACAAGAACTCAAATCATTCAACCCTGTTTGCGACGCATTTACAAGTAATATTTCCAGGACAGTTGTGACAACTTCTACGATCATACACATCTTGACCTGTATCTCGGATTGTCGTTCTTCTGACATATCAAGACACCAATTTCATAAACATTTTGTGTGTGTGACAATATATTTTGTGTGCATGTAACAATATATTTTGAGTGTATGTAACAATACATGTTTGTGTATGTGACAATACGCTTTTGTGTATGTGACAATATATTTTTTGTGCATGTGACAATATATTTTGTGTGTAAGTGACAATATATTTTGTGCATGTGACAATATATTTTTGTGTATGTGACAATATATTTTCTGTATGTGACAATATATTTTCTGTATGTAACAATATATATTGTGAATGTGACAATATATTTGTGTGTATGTGACAATATGTTTTGTGTATGTGACAAACGATTTTGTGTATGTAACAATACATCCAAAATTAATGAAATTTTGTAATACCGAGGGGCCAGGTTCTTGTCGATAGTACCTCCACAACTGTTCATCGAGCGTGCTGTGGTAGTTTGAAAGGGGACATTTAGGAGCAGTTATTGTAAATCATCTGTAAATTAGGTCGACTTTTCCTGAGGGGAAAGACGTTGCGTTTACTGAAGATATGACAGTTTCGTATAAAAAGTGAGTAAGGATGGTTTTACGCAGCTTTAAGCAATATTCAAGTAATATCACGGCGTGGGACACCTGAAACGGGCTTCACATATTGTATCCATGTGGGGATTTGAACCCGGGTCTTCGGCGTGACGAGCGGACGCTTTAATCACCAGGCTACTCCACCGCCCCAACCCTTGCTTGTGAGGATCAGATTTGTCACCCTTAATTGAGTACCAAAGGAGCTGAATAAACACTTTAAGCACCCTACCACGGATTCAGGTGGTGCGAAGCGTCTTAGGGGGTAATATATTCACAGAATGTTCTTCGATATCCTTATTCCCATAGGCCTCTATACCAAATTGTGAGAAGACTGTGTGAGGCATCCTGCGTGACCCACTTACAATATGTTCCCTTATTCACACGCCAACGTCGTTCTTTATAGAGGTGAGTTATGAAATACATGTCTTGGGCATATATACAATTCATACAGGACCTATTCGAGCACATTCATTAATTACCTCAATAGCATTTGACTAAGGTAAGGCCAATGATGGCCGTCACGACGATGAGCAACTTTAAGAATCTGCTGGATGATTCCGGCTACATCAAAATGATGTGTTTGTTACTATCAAGTGGTGATGATACTGGGTGTTCGTGAAGTGATCATAATAACTTGTATACTTTGGCTGCTGGGCAACCCATACTTCAATACTTAGATCATTACCAGGACATCTTAGCACGAACATATCTCTCCTGTTCTTAAACAACTCCAGTTTCCAGCAGAATCAAGTTAAAAATCCTATTCCACACCTTCCAATGCCTCAAGACAGACTCTGCTTCTTCTTATCTCAAAGCCCCTGTTCAGCCTCACACACCAAGCCGGACACTGCGTTCCCAAGACAAGGACCTTCTCCAAAAGCCTCACTGTAAAACAGCAAAGGGCGAACGCAGCTTCAGATGCGCAGCAGCATCTATGTGAAATGCTCTTCCAGACAACATCAAGTTATCAGAAACGCCATCAGCATTTCGGACGAACTTAAAAACCCATCTTTTCCTTTGACTGTTAAACCAAGAGGCACTGTGTGTATACTGTGAACATGTGAAAGTGCCAGTGAACAGTATACCTGGAACCTTTCAGCGCTATACAAAATGATTAGATTAGATTAGAAATCAAGTTTCATTGGACAAGCCGGAAACCTATGCTAGAGAGTATGAATCCCGTTCGAATTCCGGTTCTCCCAGGTTATGTTCCTAAATGTGTGATCACTATACTCCGTGAGTTTCACCAAACTGGTAAACGTCTGGGACCTTTATCACTCTGCGTTTGCCTCTTATATTCAGCACCCGTTGGGATCCGGGTTAGAATTGGTCTTCAGTAACCCATGCGTGTCGTAAGAGGCGACTAACGATCGGGTGGTCAGGCTCACTGACTTCGTTGACACATGTCATCGTATCCCATATATAGGCCGATGCTCATGCTGTTAATCACTGGATTGTCTGGTCCAGACTCGATTATTTACAGACCGCCGCCATATAGCTGGAATATTGCTAAGTGTGACGTTAAACAAACAAATCTTATATTTAGTTGACACGCCGAGATATATGAGAGATATCTACAAGTGTCCAATCCGTCGTTCAGCCAAGTCAATTAAACCAAATAGGAATAAAGCAAACATCAATGTGCGAAGTTATTTTATTCATAAGTAATGAGTAATACATCTGCATTTGCCAATTATGATGCAACAATATCAATGACATAGAAAGTGCATATTTACATGTGCTTATGTATGGGTGTTCAATTAGTTCTAATTATCTGCTCGATCCAGTTCATGGCATCTCTGACAAGAGCAACTCTCATGGGATTTGACGTGTCATCACAACGTAGCTGTGTTACGCCCAGTCCCTCCACTGTGCGAGGAGAGTTCACGTTGTCTCCTTGGCATACCACGGGTCCTCCAAAGTCTCCCTTTAAAATTTAAATAAAATATATTTCATCTCGAAATACACTATACAATAAAGGCATTTGATGCGAATATGATATGAATTAACTTCACGAAATATTAAAAAGCCAAAGCTAGAGAAAATCGAGTCTCGGCATAAAAAAGGTTTGTTGTTTGTTGCCTAAAATTGAAAGAAACTATATATTAGGATGACTATTGAGGGGGGGAACAACTATTGCGACAGAGATAGTCCATTGCGACCAACTATTGCAATACTATAGCAATAGTTGTTCTCTCCTTGAAGTGTCTCATTTGAAGACAATTCTTAAATGGATGTATAGTTTATATGAAATAAAAACAGGTTGAAGTAGTTTCAGTCTCTCTTAACAACTCACAAGAAACTTGAAACCCAGATCAAGTAAACAGTTAAATCAAGTCAATTACTAAGCTATCGATAGTCACACATACATTCGATGCATCGATAGTTTATCGTTTCTACCATCGATTAATTGCTATCGGACACTCAACAATTTCAACCCATCGATAGTTCGATGCATCGTTACAGCACTACTATATATGTATACAACATCAACCAGAAAATGTTATTCAAATTTAAATTTAAATTTATTAAAATCTCTCCGTTAAACATGTAGCAAGGACAATACACCATGTGTATAAAATATGCATCATATGAGCAACTAGACATATTTTATTCCACTAGTTCAAAAAGATCTGAACAACAAAATTACAGAAACTGTAAAACTGGTCTTTCACATATATGACGATGGATTATCTTACCACACATGCAAAGCTCCCCCTGTCATTGACAGCACAGCCGGTCTTGGCGGTATAGCTGGTCTCAACCCCATTCTTGTAATACTCAAAAATTTCGCAAGCGTCTTTGCCAAACAGGGTCATGTCAACTTTCTGCAGTCGATCTCTCAGTTCTGCAATACACAATTTAACAAAAAAATATTTAGACACAACTATTGGATTTTGCTAGGTGCTCAGAATTCCTTATCAATCAATATGTAAACCCAGTCTTTTAGTATTGGTTCCGCGTTTCCGTTGTCTGTGGGCCTGTGATGAGACTTCAAGGTAATTTTACACTATAAAGCAATATGGATTGAACATGACACAGCCAGCTGACCATCTTCATATACCTTGTATGTACCTTCTAAAACCAGATCGAGAAATGCTATTCGAACTTAAGTAAGCTCCTCTCTTTAATCAACCACTTCATCATGAACTATTGACTGCGGCGTAATATAATATTCACTTATTTACATGCTGGAACATTCACTCTTGAATGCTTTAGTTTGGTAAATAACATCACCTGTTTGTCATATCTTTGTACTATTTTGTTATAAGCTGGAACATTATTTTTCTGGAACATACCTTCATTTTCATTATCTTGAGATTGGTAAATAGTAACACCTGTTTTCACATGTGTTTGTCATTTTGTCATTATTTTGTTTTATGCCGGAATATTAATATTCTGGAAAATACCTTCATTTTCATTAGCCCCCCATCCAGTGGCCTTGCACTGAGAAGATGTACATCTCTGTGTTGATGTGCTTGGTAGACAGGCGGGACGAACACAGTCGTTGATGTCCACATCATTTTCTAGTTCGATCAGAGCAAATGCATTTTCTGAAATTCAAAGACATTGCATGTGTTTATAAAATTGTTGCATTGTCAATTGCTTAACAGTGTTCACATAGTAACCACAACAATCCTACAACTAATTTGCTTTACGTCTTATCACAAATGTTCCACATTATATAAAATATGCGTATAGAATAGCAATAATAAGTGTCCCACAGTGGGGTTCCAGGGTATTGTATTGGACAAGACATCTTAACGCGCTGCAGTTGTTTGTTTTGTTTGTATGTTTGTTTGTTGTTTAACTCAGCAACATTCCAGCTATATGGCGGCGGTCTGTAAATAACGGGATCTGGATCAGACAATCCAGTGATTAACAGCATGAGCATCGATCTACGCAATTTCGATACGATGCATATGACATGTGTCAACCAAGTCAGCTGTCCTGACCACTCGATCCGTTAGTCGCCTCTTAAGACAAGCATGAGTTGCTGAAGACCAGTTCCAACACAGTTCCATCATACGTTTGTTTGTTTGTTTTATCCATATTTTATTGCCAAACAGATAAAGGCATTGGGCTCAAGTGTACCCCGTATCGTCGCCTTCTCCCAATATACAATTAAACATAATAACATTTAGACACTTAGACACACGTAGTAAAAAGAACTATCGATTGATGTTCAAGAACATCTTATAATTGCCATTCGCTTAACGTATTCTAATTGCTATCGTCATGATATTTACCTTGCCAGACTCTCTCTGTGTTGGCAAGGGAGATGTTGAGGACGTTGAGGAAGTTGGTGCTGACGTCAAAGTTGAATTCGGGGTGAAAGTAAACCTGCCTAACCCGACGGAGTTGTTCGCCTCCACTCAGTGTCTGGTGGTCGTAATCCCCCAGAACAACAAACATCTGGTTCTGGAAGGTCTCCGTTGGTAAGTTCCTACCTGCGCTAAAAACAGAAACAAATCACGTCAGTATGACACAACCACACTGTTTGAACAAATTATATATGCTGGGACGCCAATTTATCCTTTGCCCCAAGGAAGGGTGGTGTTGTTGGTGGCGGTGGAGAGGTTCTGCTTCTCCAGCTTCTCAATTACACCAATGCAAGTCCAGACGTTTGGATGACCAGTCCAGACCCTAAAACCGAAAGTGGCGATCTGGTCCCTCAACTGTATGAAATGTTCTCGGTAGGTCTGCGTATATGCTGATACTTTCATTTTAACACTCTTCGAGCATTAACTGGATATCAGGCAGTTGTTCTACTAAAGTTTCCCATATGTACACTTCTATGGTTGCAATCCTGAAGTGTGTGTGTGTGTGCGTGCGTGCGTGCGTGTGCGTGCGTGTTTGCGTGTGTCTAGTAGTGGGTTGGAGATGGATGGGTTACCCTATGAGGGATTTGAGCTGGGGCCAGTAGCCCTTGGAGAATAATCCAGAATCGAGACTTCAATCAACAGGGGCTATCCTGATAGCCTCTCTTGTGCCCTCGGACGTCACGAAATGCGTAAGGAAATAGGTTCAAACTAACAATAGCCATCTGGAAGTCGAACCTCTAACCATTGAGCAACATTTCAAGACGTAATTACGTACTAGTATTCTGCACAGTCGTACATTTATCATTAAGTAGTTCAGGGCCCCGTTCCTCAAAGCGACCGTTGCGCTTCGACAGTCCATGTTAGCCTATGTTAAAGTATGGTAGTTATGACCGCATTAGGGTTACGATCGCTTTGAGGAACGGGGCCCAGATTATCATTTTATATTAACTCATGTTCCAACTTGTCATTTTCAAAGACAATCATCTACTTACAACAACACTGAGAGTGGAGTGGTGAGAACCCATTTGGACTGAACCAACACACCACCAGCAACGTGAACGGAATTAGAGATTGACTGAGGCCTGTTTACGTCAGTGACACGACGTAGCGACGCCTGCCATGGAGACTGACAGGGTTCTTCATCTTCGGACTGAGTAAACCGGGCTTGGACCCCAATAAGGCCACACTGGGGGTGATTCACTCCTGATGTTGGATCCTCGGCTGGAAGGGGAAACATCTTTAGTCAGGTTTTAATTTTTACTGGAGGGTTATTTGTAATATAGTTGATCGCTGCTTTGAGTATGTATTATTATGTGGCGGCGATTAATTTCAATTGATGATAAAATTTAATCTGAACGATCCGAATGGACGATCAGAATGTTAGCGATGTGTTAGACGAGTATTTGGAATGTTCTGATATTTTCAGTTAATTCACCATCTTGTTCACAGCATATGTTTGCCGTGGCCCAGCAGAGGAGGTAGTTCTGGGGGTTGACAGCCTTCCATCCGGCCGGACAATCTGATGCGTATCTTCCAGGGTGACAACTGCGAACACTCGAGCCTTTAGCTCCCCGAGTACACACTGAAAACAATGTATTGCAATAATGAAGACAAATTTCAATTTTCAAAGATTCCCCTCACATATTATGAAAGAGAATAATTATGATTCTCCGGTAAAACTACATTACTTAATGTAACTTTTTAGCTAATATTACTTTGTGATACAAGCTCGCTCACAATAGTAGGTACATGTGTATACAGATCATTTCAGAATTGGAAGAAGTGAGTTAGAGAGAGAGTATACTTTTAGGCCGCTTTTACTAATATTCCAGCAATATCACGGCGGGGGACACTAGGACCGGCTTCACACGTCGTGCCCATGTGGGGAATCGAACCCGGGTTTTCAGCGTGACAAGCGAACACATTAATCACTAGGCTACCCCCACCGCCCCTTATTCATTTTCAACGGTTGAATATTAAGTATATTGCTATTATTTCTTTGAAAATTGAACACATTTTACTATCTGTGTTTTCTCTTCACCTCTGTATTTTCATTATATAGTGAGCCACGAGTGAACATATCAACTTTGTCGGACCACAAGATGAAATATACATGTTATTTCACAACATTAACAAAATATTCTATTTGTTATATTTTGATCATTGTCTATAAATGATCGAGACATCGAGTAAGTCAGCATTTTATTACAGAACACAACTACAGTCTAGCCCTTGAGCAGAAAGTAGTTCCAGGCAAAAGTGATATTCTACTCAGTGAAATAACATCATGTTATTCTTCTCAGTGAAAATACCATTTTTATTTTTTACCAATATTTTCAGTATTTCACCTTTAAGAATATAATACACATTTATACTAACGTACTAACGTATTCAAGCTGTTTGTTTCTTCTAAATCCCTCGCCTACAATGTGGTTAACTGCAAATGTCAGACTAGCACAGTCACACAGTACAAGTCCACACGAGGGAAACCTTCTCTTTCAGGAACATAATTACCTTGTCGTCGACCCGTCACATTTAGCTTTGTCATGCCGTTTCCCTCTTTATGTCCAGTAAGGTTATCACGAATAACGACTGGTTCCAAGATGTTTCGTATTGAGTGAGTGAGTTTAGTTTTACGCCGCTTTTAGCAATATTCCAGCAATTTCACGGCGGAGGACACCAGAAATGGGCTTCACGCATTGTACCCATGTGGTCAATCGAAACCGGGTCTTCGGCGTGACGAGCGAACGTTTTAACCACTAGGCTACCCCACCGCCCCCTTTTCGTATTGAATTATAGAAGATACTTAATACACGTATACGTCTTACGTTCTGTGTTAAAAGCAATGACAGTGACTGATGATTACGGGAATGTTACAACACATTTGTGAATAATATGCTAATGTAATGTCTTTAAATAAACAAAACATTCAAAACTTAATGTTACAGTACATTGGTGAATATTATAGCAATGTTATGCCCTTCCATACACGAAGCGTTTGGAACCTGATGTTACAAGATATGAGTGAATATTATACTAATGTTTATGTCCTTTAATAAATGAAGCTTTTAGTACCTAATGTTGCAATACACTAGTGTATATTAAGTAATGTTTATTTCCATTAATATAGGCATCTTTCAATACAACAAACAAATAGACGATTACATTTAGAAGTCTTAAGAAATTGTATTTTCCTCATAACCATTTTTGTCGTTGACGATGTATATGCTTGTAGGAATATTCTTCACGATATCCTTTGGCTGTACTGGTACTTTCTTATTCATTATCATTACTTTGTTTGCGATGTATATGTTTGCAATCAAATAAGTATTGCTGTCTTATATGTGCCCAACTGCAGTGAACCATCAAAATTATTTTGTGGAAAGGAAATGTTAATCAGAACATTTTAAGGAATGACTGTTTCACTGGTCTCTTATTCATTCAGTAACCAGTACTGAATTACATCGGCTTATCATAAGTATTTCAGGAGGTCAGATTCTCTTATTTCGATTTTGCCAATCAAATTCTGTTCTGAATCTTTGTACAAAAAAAATAAATCTGTAATATATTTAACAAAAGATTCAAAGATAAACGGTCTCTAGCTTAAATACAGAAACAAATTTGATTCTGGTTTAAAATATCACGTGTAAAATATTTACGTATGCAATGTCGAATTAATGCTTTAATGTATTTTGATTTGGAAAAAATATTTTAAAAAGACATTTAGGGACACTTTATGTCATTCAGGTTAATGATCGTCCATAAACGTGTCCAGATACCGCAATGCAGGGCGAATGCGTTTTATGGACAAGGGATATCTGAAACGTTTTGAGTCTAATAATTGCGCAATGAAGGACTAGAATACCTTCCAGAAAACTCTGAAATGCAGCTTGGTGGTGGTTGATGTATTTAAGTCATCTGGTTCAGTGTTATCGTTGTATCTGTATTCCTCTCACACATGCAGTTGATTAACTACCCAGGATGTGTGAACACTCCCCAGTCGGTATGGGAAGGGTACAATAGAGAAGCTCGGGAAAGCCAGAGTATATATTTGCTCAGATTAAAACTTGCTTTGAGTTGATTTTGGGTTGCTTTTTTTGTTTCAGGACACGTTTAAAAACAAATCCAGGTTTATTAGATACGCGCTGTTGTACGTTGTATGTTCTACACTGCTAATTTCGTTTAAACATTATTACAAACCAAAATTTACGAAACATATTAAACTGAAAAGGCATAAACACAGCCAACTTGTATCCATATTCATGACTTAATTTAAAGAATTTAAAACCAAATTGTTGATAATTTTATCATTGCGCTTGAGGGAATTATTTGACGTAAAATGTAGGAAACTTCAGTATTTAAGAAATATATATGTACATAAAAAAATCTATGATTTTATAATGTCTATACTTACAGCTGTTCCTCTGAAATGCCCACGGGAGCTGCGCCAAGGCAGAGTTTCCCAGAAAGCCCACAAGAAGGACAAGAGTCTGCAGTCTGGTCGCCATTTTGATCCTCAAATCTACGGTTGATCTCGTTATATATCGGCTTGGTACACCTTTGCCAGCACTGCAAACACTCTCCGGGAATGTCGCCCAGGCCTAATTTGTGTGATGTTTCCACACCCAAGCCAAACACTCACACTGTAGCGGGGATAACCTCCCCGTGCTGAGATTTGGTGGTTGGAAGGTTTAATTAAAATGATGCTACTCTTAGAAACAAACCACGAAGACACACTGAGTCAACACTTCCTGGTATATTTAACGGAAATTAGAGAATTGTTCTTGGAGATATAGTTACCAGTTTCCAACGAGTCAAATGGAATTATACTAAAACCGATGTATATTTAACATAAAAGAAAGCCTTTACTATTTTTAAAAGTATAACGAAGAATACTTTCTGTAAAACTTTGACTGTTTGACATTACATTTTGTTTTGACTGAGCTATGAATAAAATTAATAAAAATGTATGATCATGTTTGATTCGTGACTCATGAATACAAACATGTGTCTGCGATGTCCTAACATGTATCTATAAAAAGATATCATAACTAAAAAATAATGTTTGTATCATTATAAATAAATACCACAACTCCCAGGTTTCAAAACAAACTAACGCTTACTTTTCTTGTTTCTTAACAGAAGCGACAAAAACATTTCAAAAATTAAAAGAAACCTCTTCTAAAACAGAGTCCGTTTCGAATCCTAAAATATCAAGTTTAAGCATGTGTCTATGGTTCATATACAATGATACCAGGTGTTTGCACAAAGGTGACCGCATCCTTATCTACCGCTGGTACCATCACAAACACATGCAGAGACAGGGTAATTGTTCATCTAAAAAAACAACTTAGGAACAAATAGTGAATGTCAAAATAAGGAAATTGCAAAATACGCTATGTTGATCACTGATGACAATTTTAGAATATGCCACATTGAGCATGTTGAAAGCTTTACTGAGAATTCATATCAAACATTATGTGGATTTCATTTAAGCCCTTGTTCGATTGTACCTCCAAAGTTGGAAAATGTACCTGTTGGAATATTGCTTGACATGAAGGGGCATTTGACTATTACAATAATGTCGGGCATTTTTTAATTTGAATCTGTATACATCTACTGATTAAACGATCTACTGATTAAACGATCTACTGATTAAACATGAGTTAGTGTCACTGGCCTATTTTCTCTCGAGCTGAGATGGGCAAATCAGTAGTTGTTTCACCATTATGTGACATAATTCCATTGTTTTACTTTTGCCAATATGGCAATTCTTATTCATGTGCATTTCTTTGAGATTGTAAACTAAAGATTGACTATGAGTTCGTATCTGGCTTACAAACAAACAACATACTGACAATGACTGGGAATATAACATAATAACATATATCTAGTACATGTCACATTCATGCACTGATGAATAAGAGGCGCATCATATATTCTCTTCAAGATGTTTGTTTGGAATGAAACAACAAATCTGACTCAAAACAAAATTGATGTCCATTGGTTCGATGATATATAAAGTCATCGGGAGTAGTGTGATGAAAGGGAGATAACTCCTATCACAAAACGTCGCTATTTTCCTTCATGGTCCATGAAATCAAGATACTGCTGCTTAGCTTAAAATAAATCAATTTTGCATGGTTTGATATTTATATTAATGCATTAAATAATGAATTGATGGTGCTTCTTCTACTATTTTGCAGGGATTGCTTTATTGGATCTTTTGCTTTTGAAATTTTCATTTGTATTAAAGTTTTCATTTGATAAAGCGCCAATATTTTCCCTAATTTAATACTCATGGTACCATTAGCACCATGCTCCCAGCCTTCAGTTATAAACCACCAGGTACCCATCAACTGCTTAAAGAAATATGGGAAAGACCAAAGTCCAAGAAATTCTCAGGAGTCGTTTTTCTGAATGTAAGTCCGTCCTCCACCCCTCTGCTCAATGAGAAGGATTTGGAGAGATGTGATGGATCTGCTGAAGGATGTGGAAAGATGTGATGGATCTGCTGAAGGATGTGGGGAGATGTAATGGATCTGCTGAAGGATGTGGGGAGATGTGATGGATCTGCTGAAGGATGTGGGGAGATGTCATGGATCTGCTGAAGGATGTGGAGAGATGTCATGGATCTGCTGAAGGATGTGGAGAGATGTCATGGATCTGCTGAAGGATGAAAGATTGAACATTTATCAATCACTCTATCCGGATCATCAGTGAACAAAATGAAGCTGAGTGTTCATGCATCTCCACATGAAAAGACACAACCCTGTTCATGACTGCAAATATTGTCACTGAAAGTCAGTCTCTGTGTAATCTTCCACAACATCATTCTTAAACTAGGGTATGTTTTGTTTGTTTGTTGTTTAACGCCGCACTCAACAATATTTCAACTACATGGCGCAGTCTGTAAATAATCGACCAGATAATCCAGTGATCAACAGCATGAGCATCGATCTAAGCAGCTGGGATACGATGACATGTGTCAACCAAGTCATCGAGCCAGACCACCCGATCCCGTCAGTCGCCTCTTACAACAAGCATGGGTTACTGAAGATCAATTCTAACCCGGATCTTCACGGGTCCAGGGTATGCATACATCTGTGACATCATTAAAGGATATGAACACATGTCCTGTTTACTTCATGAATAAATAGTTTCTTAAATATCGGAATTACCATGGGACAATTTTCGTTGAGATTCTGAGTAAACATTATACAAAGGGTTATCACTGACAGCTCCAAACATTCGCAGCATGTCCTGCTCTGTACACGATACAATAGATCCAACGCTACGCCCTTCCTTAAAAATAAATACAGCTTTAATTCAGACTGAGAGATTGTATTTACTTTTCAAACCTGACGCGTCGGACGCGATTATACGACTACAGAAAATCGCACAAACGACTTCTTTCATTACAACATTTTCACATCTAGTCACGTGAGGAGTATTTGCGTTGCCACACGCAGCTATATGAAATTTTCAATCGGAACACACCTCTTGTGACTTGCAGGAGACTGTTTAGCATCCGCCATGTTTAGTGACATTCCATCGTTATCACTGTACGAAGGAAAAACCAAGACTATAGGGCTGGGATGGGTCCAAAATTTCTTACCGGGTACCCCACACCCTATTACCCTACCCGGATAAACGATATGTTAATTCCTGACATCAAATTTGAAAGAAATGGCAATATATTCTTCAGCTCGGAGGCTAAAATTTCGAGTTTTTTCACTATCTTAATCATGCATCATATTGAAAACAGGTGACTGTAAATGATGTCTAAATCTTCAAAGACAATTCAATCATTCAATCATAAAAGAATAACATATTACATTGTTTAATCTATTAGACACAGTTACCCGTCCCAGCCCTACAAGACTAACCTTAATATGTGACCATGTTGAAAATCAAAGCTGGCCTCGGCAAACCCTTTCACTACTAGACACCGAACGTTCAAAAATGGAAATAATTGTGTACAAAAATGATCGCAGTTTGAAGTTTTAGACTGGATTAATTCATTTGATAATGTTATTATTGAAGTTATAAAAGTTAACGCTTTGAAATAAATTTAAAAGATGTTGCTGAAAGAAGCAGCATGGCAGCATGTTTTTGTTTGGCAGTTTCCGTCTACTGCAACTTCTTTCACTCCAAAAAACCTTACGTTTGAAAACATTTTTACCTTTCTTTTCAAAGGCTCCATAACCATTACAATTTGACATTTCAATTACAACCACGAAAAGTAGTACAATAATGCTGATAAATTGTTACGATCTTCAGGGCAACGATCGTTCGATAAACAGACCACATAAAAAATATTTTGTGCCAATATTTTATATAACCTTAAATACAATACACATCTGCAAATGCCAATTATGATGCAATAACAATATTAATCATGTCCAATAGACGGTGTTCATTTTGACGTCCTTATCTTCAAGGATTCGCTCTGATGACCTGTTCAATCCAGTCGACCGCTTGTCTGATATCACCAATGTTAAACTGTGAACTTGTGGGGTTACTGTTACAGGTGACCTGTTCCATGAGAGATAAACCGTCCGCAACGTACTTGCCACTGGCAGCGTCTCGGCATATCACCGTGCCACCGAAATCACCCTACAAGATAAAGTTGTGTTAGTCATTTGGATTAATATTATACGCCGCCTTGTGTTCAAGGATGATCACGGCGGATCAGGTCGATGTGGTAAACATGTCCGAAGTGGGTGGCTTGGGTGAATTTAGTTTTACGCCGCTTTTAGCACTTTTCCAGCAATATCACGGCGGGGGACACCAGAATTGGGCTTCACACATTGTGCCCATGTGGGGAATCGCATCCGGGTCTTTGGCGTGACGAGCGAACGCTTTAACCACCGAGGTATGCCCCGCCCCGCCCGACGGATGGGGGCGGTAGAATAGCCCAGTGCTAAAAGCGGTGTAAACCTAACTCACTCACTCACTGCTGAACTCTGCACGTTGAGTATGTGAGTTTACTTTTACGCCGCACTCAGCAATATTCCAGCTATATGGCGGCGGTCTGTAAATAATCGAGTCTGGACCAGACCGGATCAACAGCATGAGCATCGATCTACGCAAATGGGATACGATGACATGTGTCAACCAAGTCAGCGAGCCTGACCACCTGATCCCGTTAGTCACCTCTTACGACAAGCATGGGTTACTGAAGATCAAATCTAACCCGGAACTTTACGGGTGCATACATAAGTGTCATGTAGGAGGCGTGTTGTACTTACTGAGCACGGCGTGGCTCCAGTACTGTTGACGGCACACTTGGTCGTCAGAGGTTGAACAGTTTGTACTTGGTTGTTGCGATAATAACTGAGGGCTTCACATGCGTTGAAATCAAACACCTGGACCTCAGCCTTCTGGAGAACGCCCAGCAGGTCTATAACAACAATATTAATAATAAGTGATCCGCACAGTCAGAGATTGATGACACACACTCACCAAAGGCGCTTATTGAAACCATCTGGTTTTGACTTAAGTTAGAGTTTTTACTCAAATTTGAGAAAACAGAAAAATGCATTTTCCAGAATACACTAAAATCGATATTGAACCCAAACATAGTAGAAAATTTGAATTTGGAGCATAGATTACTTAAGTTGTTTAGGCTTTAAAATTTTTTAAAATGCAGTTAAGATTAAAATTCAGCTGTTTCGAATTGTCAAACTCAGTTTGAAATTTGAGTAAAAACATAAGATTGTTTCGAGAAGTCGGGGTCTGGAACCATCCACATTACTCAGCTCTTACAAAAGACACACAATCTGCCAGGTCACACATTGTAACCATCTAATCTACACTACTCGGCGCTTATAACAAGACACACAATCAGCCAGGTCACACATTGTAACCATGTGATCTACAGTACTCGGCGCTTATAACAAGACACACAATCAGCCAGGTCACACATTGTAACCATGTGATCTACAGTACTCGGCGCTTATAACAAGACACACAATCTGCCAGGTCACACAACGTTAACCATGTGATCTACAGTACTCGGCGCTTATAATAAGACACACAATCAGCCAGGTCACACATTGTAACCATGCGATCTACAGTACTCGGCGCTTATAATAAGACACACAATCTGCCAGGTCACACATTGTAACCATGCGATCTACAGTACTCGGCGCTTATAACAAGACACACAATCTGCCAGGTCAAACATTGTAACCATGTGATCTACAGTACTCGGCGCTTATAACAAGACACACAATCTGCCAGGTCACACATTGTAACCATGTGATCTACAGTACTCGGCGCTTATAACAAGACACACAATCTGCCAGGTCACACATTGTAACCATGTGATCTACAGTACTCGGCGCTTATAACAAGACACACAATTTGCCAGGTCACACATTGTAACCATGTGATCTACAGTACTCGGCGCTTATAACAAGACACACAATCAGCCAGGTCACACATTGTAACCATGTGATCTACAGTACTCGGCGCTTATAACAAGACACACAATCTGCCAGGTCACACATTGTAACCATCTGATCCACTTTATTTAGCTCTTACAACAAGACACACAATCTGCCAGGTCACACATTGTAACCATGTGATCTACAGTACTCGGCGCTTATAATAAGACACACAATCAACCAGGTCACACATTGTAACCATGTGATCTACAGTACTCGACGCTTACAACAAGACACACAATCTGCCAGGTCACACATTGTAACCATCTAATCTACATTACTAAACAGTTACTCTTACAAGACACACAATCAGCCAAGTCACACATTGTAACCATCTGATTCACTTTATTTAGCTCTTACAACAAGACACACAATCAGCCAGGTCACACATTGTAACCATCTGATCCACCTTACTCAACTCTTACAAGACACACAATCAGCTATTTCACACATTGTAACCACAAGATTCATATCAAGCTCTCGCGGCAAGCGACTTACTTTCGTCCTGATTGGTACCCCATCCAGTTATCTTGCAGATTGGTGACCCGCACGTCTGGGGGAAGTCCTGGACAGTCGGGATGCATGCAGGACGGGCGCAGTCTGTCAGTGTCACATCCCTCTCAAGCTCAACCAGAGCGAAAGAATATTCTGGAGAAAGAAATGTTTATTGAAAGTCTTATCAATCAACAGACAGCGTTCGAAATAGCTTCTGGCCCTCTAGCTAAATGCTAGCTGATTGTGAGTCGGGCCAGTAATATATTGATAAAGCTATCCCAACTGGCGAGCTGAAAATCTTAGACGATTTATCTTTTTATTTAATGCATGAATTATTACTGTGTTAAAAGTCCGTCCGCAAAAGTTTCGTGATATTCATTATCTCTAGTCACGCGAAGATCGTTATATAATTGTTCTATTAGCGTTGCGCGAAAGAAAAGAAATGAAAACATCGCACCAATTCTGACCGATGTGCATTTTCATTTTGATATTTTGCAGTATGATGTGGGCTAGCAATATATGTTACTTAACTAGCCCTCCTGACCAGTGACTTTTCAAAATTAATTCATACACTAACAGTATTCTTAGTATTTCTTACGTATATCTCGAAGTAAATAATAATAATAATAATAATAGTGCATTTATATAGCGCTATTTCCAAACATAAGGATGCTCAAAGCGCACAAACATGGTTTGATATTAAGAGTCAGGGAAAGCTTGGCGGAAGAGGAAAGTTTTTAGTAAGGATTTAAAGGATGACAACGTTTGAGAGTCTTTGAGTTCTTGGGGCAGATTATTCCACTCAGTTGCTGCGGCATATGTAAGTACATATAATGTGGGCGGAGGTTTGTTAGTTTGTTGTTTTACGCCGCATCCAGTAGTATTCCAGCTTTATGGCGGTAGTCTGTACAAAATCAAGTCTGGACCAGACAAAATCAACCATTGCACATCAAATTGCTGAAATGCATGTGCAAATATCGTGCATGTGAACAGCTGCGTTTCGGTGTAAAGTTTTGTTAAGAATTCACCAATGTTCACTGAGTTTCATCATTTACTGAACTCATGACAATAATCTTTTCAACGTTATGAATTTGTTTTACAATACATCTGTTCATGTGTAAACAGTACCTTTAAACAGTGTGGAGTATTTTGCAAAATTTAGTTTAGAACAGTTGACTGAAGTGAGAGGCTACTTTACACTTGTGAGTCTAATGAGTGAGTGAGTGAGTGAGTTGAGTTTTACGCGCGCACTCAGCAATATTCCAGCTATATGGCGGCGGTCTGTAAATAATCGAGTCTGGTCCAGACAATCCTGTGATCAACAGCATGAGCATCGATCTGCGCAATTGGGATACGATGACATGTGTCAACCAAGACAGCGAGTCTGACCACCCGATCCCGTTAGTCGCCTCTTACGACAAGCATGGGTTACTGAAGGCCAATGTTCTAGCCCGGACCTTCACGGGTACTAGTGAGTCTAAACCTTTGATGGGTAGTATATAAGGTCAACAGAGAAACACAAAGCTGCCTACCCTGGTAAGGAAGCGAGACTTGTACAGGGGAAATAACACCAGTTAGGATCAAGGAGAAAAAGTCGGTAGAGATCTGGAAGCGGCTCAGTGGATGGAATGTAACATTCTTAATTCGGATGAACTGTTCATCTCCATTGTTATCGTCGATGTTGTGATCTCCGATGGAGGCAAACAGGGTGTTTGTGTAAAAGGGATCCGCAGCTGATTGTCTACCGGCTCTGGAATACATACACATGAATTAGTTGAAACTATATTACAGTGCATTACACAATCATCACGGTTGTTGGACAAAAGCGCTTAAAGGCACAATGTCACACATTTTTGACAATATTTTGACCTATATTTTATATATTGGGATATGCACTCACCTTAGTCTCCTACTGATGCAATAAAAGATACTTATTATCCCTTACGACTTGCCTGAAATCGATAATTGAAACTTCTAGGTGAACAGCTTCCAAACAGAGAACACTTGCCATATATGGAATGTAAACAATTGCTCCGTGCCTCGAAAACTGTCGCACGAGGTATTGTCGGTGTTTGCCGAACTGGTTTTAATCACACGTTGTGCGTAGGATATTCGCAAAGAGCGCTCCAAGGGACATAACTCTATGGGGTTCGCTTGAAATAATACTAGCGGTAGAGGGCGCGAGAGTCGATTTAATACCACGTTGCATTGATTCATTCGAACTTTTTAATTTGTAATCTAAATGCGTATTTTTTTTAAAAAAAAATTATATGTTAGCTTCCCAGAGGGCTGATAGTTAGTATTATTGAGAGAAATGCATTATGCATTTTTAGAGAAGTGTGGTGTGACATTCTGCCTTTAAAGAAAAGAGAATGATTTCATCTACATTGAAGGTCTCGAGTACTCTGAGTTCAAAACCTTTCAGCGCCCAAATCCACTGCATGCCTGCTCTCCAGTCCAAATTAATTGTCATGTATCATATAAAACCTATATATCAGCGGCATATTCAAACTGTTCGTTCTGATTTTGTATGTTGTTTTACGCCGCACTCAGCAATAATCTAGCTATACGGCGATGGTCTGTAAATAATCCAGTGATCAACAGAATGAACATCGATCTACGCAACTGGGATACTGAATAACAATTAGACTTAGATGGGCATACTGCTCGAAAAGGCACAAACTTAGGTCTTCAAAATTGATCGGGGTCGGTGGGGTAGCCTAGCGGTTAAAGCGCTTCGCTCGTCACGCCGAAGAACCGGATTCGATTCCCCACAAGGGTACAATGTGTGAAGCCCATTTCTGGTGTCTCCCGGTGTAATATTGCTGGAATGTTGCAAAAAGCGGCGTAAAACGTATCTTACTACTCAAAATTAACTCACTCACTCAACACTGAACAGTAGAAAGGATACCTCCAAGATCTCAACTCACCTTATCAGAGCAAAAGCTGTGGTTAGGACCCACTTGCTCTGAATGAGAACTCCGCCGGCTTGATGCGCTGAGTTGGCCAAAGATGGTACTTGGTTCAGAATTCCTGTGTTGGAAAACCTTCTGAAGGATACCTGCCAGGGGCTGATACACTTCTGTTCATTTTCACCGAACGCAATTCTTATTTCTGGTGTTGGTACAGTGCCGCAGTCGGGGTGGTTAATTACAGCTGAGGAAAAAAGGGAGAATATTCAGAGTTAGTCAGTTCAGTTTTATGCCACTTTCAGCAATATTCCAGCAATATCACGGCAAGACACTAGAAATATCACTGCCCACATTGTACCAACATGGGGAATCGAACCCGGATCTTCAGCGTGACAAGCGAACGCTTTAGCTACTAGGCTACCCCACCGACCCGGAGAATGTTCAGATCTGTTTCCCATTGTGACATCATTTTCAGTGGGTGAGTAGGATTAATTCCTCGCATAGGAATACTCAAGCCATGTGACAGTGAGGGGCAGCATACATGTGATCTACATTTAAGGACCGTTCATAATTTATGGGTGGGTGGGGGTGTGTGTGTGTGCGTGCGTGCGTGCGTTCGTGTTGATGATTATAATAATGGGGAGGTATCAATCTTGTTCTGGGGAAATGGGGGGTCATTAATTTCGTACACATGTATTAGGGGAGTCAGCAAGTTTGTACATACAAATATAAAACATATTTACTTAAAAATTATGGGAGGGGGTGGGGATCATGGATTTGCACATGACATGGGGGGGTGGCTTACTTTGTACATAAATATTAGAGTGTCATTCACATTGTACATGATTTTCCCTAAAATTTTATCAGCTCACTAGCGCCATAAATTATTAACTTAAATACACATGCGTAGAATTGAACCCAGAGAAACGAGTCTAACCAAGTTCCCTAATGTTATATATACGATTTCATATGAAACTAATCATGAAACGCACACACAAAACTGAATACTGAGTACTCCCCATGAACATATTACTCGTGCTCAAAAACAAACTATATTACTGTATTGTGAGTATTTTCAAATTCCATTTGACAGGGGGAATGAACTTTACAAATTTGAACTATATCCGAGATATATCTCAAGACCTCGAGGTGACGAACCAGGTCTTTAGGCGCCAGGCTACCGTTAGGCGCCAGGCTACCGTTAGGCTTCTACACAAAGTCAAAATATCTCCCCTAGTTTTATGGGTCGGTAAGTTTCAAGTTCAAGGAAGCTAAGTTAATACTTCGAGTTATCCGATGTTCGACACAAACACAAAATGGTGACTACAGAACCAGTACCCACGGATAAAAAAATATTAAAAACTATTCCACTCTGGTCAAATAATCCCAGACACCTCTAAAACTACATTAATGAGATTTAATGCTATTACCTATACACTCTGTTTTCGGATCGCCCGTGAAACCTGTTTTGCAAACACAGGTGTAAGATCCTTCCGTATCCAGACAGTCCGCGTTAGTCCCGCACGTAAAGCTACCAGCGGTCAAACACTCATTAATGTCTGGAAAAGGTAAAATCATAATTTCAATATAGACCCTTATGCGCTTCTGAAGCTCACCTTCACCAATTATTGTGTGAGTGAGTTTTGTTTTACGCCGCTTTTAGCAATATTCCAGCAATTTCACGGCGGGGGACACCAGAAATGAGCTTCACACATTGTACCCATGTGGTGAATCGAACCCGGGTCTTCGGCGTGACAAAAAACGCTATAACCACTGGGCCAGCCCACCGCCTCAATTATCGTGTGACGTACTTATTAATGCATTGACCTTAGTTGCGGTGTTCAAAACCACTTTAAGGAAATATGATCAGCAACATTTCAGCTCAGTGGAGGCGGTCTGTAAATAATGGAGTCTGGACCAGACAACCCAGTGGTCAACAGCATGATCTATGCAAATGGGATACGATAACATGTGTCAACAAAGTCAGCGAGCCTGACCACCCGATCCTGTTAGTCGCCTCTAACGACAAGCAGGGGTTACTGAAGATCAATTCTAACAGGATCTTCACGGGTCGCCTTCTTGAGACTACAACAAGTACCCTCTTCATATTATCATAAAACATATAGGAAGACAACATTTACCTTACATACATTTACAGTGTACCAAGACAGGAAGTTGAAAGTCTAGCTACCAACCAAATTCTCACACACAGAACTTGCTTATTTAGTCGCCTCTTACGACAAGCATGGGTTGCTGAAGACCAATTCTAGCCTGGATCTTCACGGGTGTTTATTAAAGCTTTGTGTGCCAGTGTTTACAATGAATTAATGTTGGAACGTTGAGTTACATATGATATTGACTCATACGTTTAATAAGTAATCACACTTTAGGGATAGACCATGGGTTGTTGCATGAGACTGAAATTGTCCATATACTTTCTTGATGTTCGGAAAGGTAACTTGTTCACTGAAACATTTGTCTCTAAAATATGTTCGGCTCCGTGTTGTGTGTTTTCTGTGTCAGTGACTGAAAATATGCTACTTCCACCGAAACTCGTTGCCTAAACAAAATATAACTCACTGTTGCAGGTGACTCCGTTCCCGGTATAGCCGGTATTGCATGTGCATGTGTAGGATCCTGGTACGTTGGCACAGGTAGCTTGTAAGTTGCATATTCCATTAGTGTTACACTCGTTGACATCTGCAGACAATTAATGTACTGGCGTCAAAGATAAACCATGCCTGGGGACGATAAAACATGCTCGGAGACGATAAAACATGACCTGAGACGATAAAACATGACCGGGGACGACAACAGATGCCCAGAGACGATAACACACGTCCTGAGATGATAACACATGCCCTGATACGATAACACATGTCCTGAGACGATAACACATGCCCTGATACGACAACACATGCCCAGACACGATAACACATGCCCAGAGACGATAAAACATGCCCTGGAATGATAGATCATGCCCGGGGACGATAACACATGCCCAGAGACGATAACGCATGCCCGGGGACGATAACAGATGCCCTGAAACGATAGAACATGCCCTGAGTCAATAACACATGCTCTGAGGCAATAACTCATGCCTTGAGACGATAGAACACGCCATGAAACAATAGAACATGCACGGGGACGATAACACATGCCCTGAGACGACACTATATGCCCTGAGACGATAATGCATGCCCTGAAACGATGGAATATGCCCTGAGATGATAACACATGCCCTGAGATGATAACACGTGCCCTGAGACGATAACACATGCTCTGAGACGATAACACCTGCTCTGAGACGATAACACATGCCCTGAGACGATAACACCTGCTCTGAGACGATAGAACATGCCCTGAGACAATAGAACATGCACGGGACCTATAACACATGCCCTGAGACGATAACACATGCCCTGGGACGATAACACATTCCCAGTGACTATAACACATGCTCTGAGACGATAACACCTGCTCTGAGACGATAACACATGCCCTGAGACGATAACTCATGTCTTGAGACGATACCACATGCCATGAAACAAAAGAACATGCACGGGGACGATAACACATGCCCTGAGGCGATAACACATGCCCTGAGACAATAGAACATGCACGGGGACGATAACACGTGCCCTGAGGCGATAACACATGCCCTGAGACTATAACACATGCCCTGAGGCGATAACACATGCTCTGAGACTATAGCATATGCCTTGAGACGATAGAACATGCCCTGAGACAATAGAACATGCACGGGACGATAACACATGCCCTGAGACGATAACACATGCCCTGGGACGATAACACATTCCCAGTGACTATAACACATGCCTTGAGACGATAGAACATGCCCTGAGACAATAGAACATGCACGGGGACGATAACACATGCCCTGAGACTATAACACATGCCTTGAGACGATAGAACATACCCTGAGACAAGAGAACATGCACGGGGACGATAACACGTGCCCTGAGGCGATAACACATGCCCTGAGACTATAACACATGCCCTGAGGCGATAACACATGCTCTGAGACTATAGCATATGCCTTGAGACGATAGAACATGCCCTGAGACAATAGAACATGCACGGGACGATAACACATGCCCTGAGACGATAACACATGCCCTGGGACGATAACACATTCCCAGTGACGATAACACATGCCCTGAGACTATAACACATGCCTTGAGACGATAGAACATACCCTGAGACAAGAGAACATGCACGGGGACGATAACACATGCCCTGAGACGATAACACATGCTCGGGGACGATAGAACAATCATTCAATCAGTCAGTCAGTCCTCTTACCTGTACAGGTGAAGCCATCCCCAGTGTAACCAGAATTGCAGGCACAGGTGAACGATCCAATGGAATCAGTGCAAGCGGCTTGAGGGTGGCAGTTGTTGAGGTTGGATGCAGTACATTCGTTGATATCTATGGACGATAATGTACAGGTTAACGGAGGATCCTCCATAATACTCGCCCTTGAAACAGTAATATAGACAGTAGACCACCCCCTTGAAACAGTAATATAGACAGTAGTCCACCCCCTTGTAACAGTAATATAGACAGTAGTCCACCTCCTTGAAACAGTAATATAGACAGTAGTCCACCTCCTTGAAACAGTAATATAGACAGTAGTCCACCTCCTTGTAACAGTAATATAGACAGTAGACCACCCCCTTGAAACAGTAATATAGACAGTAGTCCACCCCCTTGTAACAGTAATATAGACAGTAGTCCACCTCCTTGAAACAGTAATATAGACAGTAGTCCACCTCCTTGAAACAGTAATATAGACAGTAGTCCACCTCCTTGTAACAGTAATATAGACAGTAGTCCACCTCCTTGTAACAGTAATATAGACAGTAGTCCACCTCCTTGTAACAGTAATATAGACAGTAGTCCACCTCCTTGTAACAGTAATATAGACAGTAGTCCACCTCCTTGAAACAGTAATATAGACAGTAGTCCACCTCCTTGTAACAGTAATATAGACAGTAGTCCACCTCCTTGAAACAGTAATATAGACAGTAGTCCACCTCCTTGAAACCAGTAGTCCACCCCCTTGAAACAGTAATATAGACAGTAGTCCACCTCCTTGAAACAGTAATATAGACAGTAGTCCACCTCCTTGAAACAGTAATATAGACAGTAGTCCACCTCCTTGAAACAGTAATATAGACAGTAGTCCACCTCCTTGAAACAGTAATATAGACAGTAGTCCACCTCCTTGTAACAGTAATATAGACAGTAGTCCACCTCCTTGAAACAGAATATAGACACAGTAATATAGACAGTAGTCCACCTCCTTGAAACAGTAATATAGACAGTAGTCCACCTCCTTGAAACAGTAATATAGACAGTAGTCCACCTCCTTGAAACAGTAATATAGACAGTAGTCCACCTCCTTGAAACAGTAATATAGACAGTAGTCCACCCCTTGAAACAGTAATATAGACAGTAGTCCACCTCCTTGAAACAGTAATATAGACAGTAGTCCACCTCCTTGAAACAGTAATATAGACAGTAGTCCACCCCTTGAAACAGTAATATAGACAGTAGTCCACCACCCCTTGAAACAGTAATATAGACAGTAGTCCACCTCCTTGAAACAGTAATATAGACAGTAGTCCACCTCCAGTTGACACAGTAATATAGACAGTAGTCCACCTCCTTGTAACAGTAATAGAGACAGTAGTCCACCTCCTTGAAACAGTAATATAGACAGTAGTCCACCTCCTTGAAACAGTAATATAGACAGTAGTCCACCCCTTGAAACAGTAATATAGACAGTAGTCCACCCCCTTGAAACAGTAATATAGACAGTAGTCCACCCCTTGAAACAGTAATATAGACAGTAGTCCACCCCCTTGTAACAGTAATATAGACAGTAGTCCACCTTTGAAACAGTAATATAGACAGTAGTCCACCTCCTTGTAACAGTAATATAGACAGTAGTCCACCTCCTTGAAACAGTAATAATATAGACAGTAGTCCACCTCCTTGAAACAGTAATATAGACAGTAGTCCACCTCCTTGAAACAGTAATATAGACAGTAGTCCACCTCCAGTAATATAGAAACCACCTTCCTTGTAATATAGACAGTAGTCCACCCCTTGAAACAGTAATATAGACAGTAGTCCACCCTCCTTGAAACAGTAATATAGACAGTAGTCCACCTCCTTGAAACAGTAACAGTAATCCACCTAGACAGTAATATAGACAGTAGTCCAGTCCACCTCCTTGAAACAGTAATATAGACAGTAGTCCACCCCTTGAAACAGTAATATAGACAGTAGTCCACCCTCCTTGAAACAGTAATATAGACAGTAGTCCACCTCCTTGAAACAGTAATATAGACAGTAGTCCACCCACTTGAAACAGTAATATAGACAGTAGTCCACCCCCTTGAAACAGTAATATAGACAGTAGTCCACCTCCTTGAAACAGTAATATAGACAGTAGTCCACCCCCTTGAAACAGTAATATAGACAGTAGTCCAGTCCAGTAGTCCATCCTTGAAACAGTAATATAGACAGTAGTCCACCCCTTGAAACAGTAATATAGACAGTCCACCCCCTTGATATATAGACAGTAGTCCACCCCCTTGAAACAGTAATATAGACAGTAGTCCACCTCCTTGAAACAGTAATATAGACAGTAGTCCACCTCCTAAACAGTAATATACACAGTAGTCCACCTTCTTGAAACAGTAATATAGACAGTAGTCCACCCCCTTGAAACAGTAATATAGACAGTAGTCCACCCCCTTGAAACAGTAATATAGACAGTAGTCCACCCTCCTTGAAACAGTAATATAGACAGTAGTCCACCCCCTGACAGTACACCCCTTGAAACAGTAATATAGACAGTAGTCCACCTCCTTGAAACAGTAATATAGACAGTAGTCCACCCCTTGAAACAGTAATATAGACAGTAGTCCACCCCCTTGAAACAGTAATATAGACAGTAGTCCACCCCTTGAAACAGTAATATAGACAGTCCACCCCCTTGAAACAGTAATATAGACAGTAGTCCACCCCTTGAAACAGTAATATACACAGTAGTCCACCCCTTGAAACAGTAATATAGACAGTAGTCCACCCCTTGAAACAGTAATATAGACAGTAGTCCACCCCCTTGAAACAGTAATATAGACAGTAGTCCACCTCCTTGAAACAGTAATATAGACAGTAGTCCACCCCCTTGAAACAGTAATATAGACAGTAGTCCACCCCCTTGAAACAGTAATATAGACAGTAGTCCACCCCCTTGAAACAGTAATATAGACAAACAGTAATCCCACCCCTTGAAACAGTAATATATAGTCCACCCCTTGAAACAGTAATATAGACAGTAGTCCACCCCTTGAAACAGTAATATAGACAGTAGTCCACCCCTTGAAACAGTAATATAGACAGTAGTCCACCCCTTGAAACAGTAATATAGACAGTAGTCCACCCCCTTGAAAGTAGTAGTCCACCTCCTTGAAACAGTATAGACAGTAAACAGTAATATAGACAGTAGTCCACAGTAGTCCACCTCCTTGAAACAGTAATATAGACAGTAGTCCACCTCCTTGAAACAGTAATATACACAGTAGTCCACCCCCTTGAAACAGTAATATAGACAGTAGTCCACCCCCTTGAGTCCACCTCCTTGAAACAGTAATATAGACAGTAGTCCACCCCTTGAAACAGTAGTCCATATAGTAGTCCACCTCCCTTGAAACAGTAATATAGACAGTAGTCCACCCCACCTTGAAACAGTAATATAGATATAGACAGTACCCCCTTGAAACAGTCCAGTAGTCCACCTCCTTGAAACAGTAATATAGACAGTAGTCCACCCCCTTAGACAGTAGTCCAACAGTAATATAGACAGTAGTCCACCCCCTTGAAACAGTAATATAGACAGTAGTCCACCCCTTGAAACAGTAATATAGACAGTAGTCCACCCCCTTGAAACAGTAATATAGACAGTAGTCCACCCCTTGAAACAGTGAAACAGTAATATATAGACAGTAGTCCACCCCTTGAAACAGTAATATAGACAGTACCCCTTTGAAACAGTAATATAGACAGTAGTCCACCCCCTTGAAACAGTAATATAGACTTTGAAACAGTAATATAGACAGTAGTCCACCTCCTTGAAACAGTAATATAGACAGTAGTCCACCCTCTTGAAACAGTTATAGACAACAGTCCACCCCCTTGAAACAGTAATATAGACAGTAGTCCACCTCCTTGAAACAGTAATATAGACAGTAGTCCACCCCCTTGAAACAGTAATATAGACAGTAGTCCACCCTCCTGAAACAGTAATATAGACAGTAGTCCACCTCCTTGAAACAGTAATATAGACAGTAGTCCACCTCCAGTAATATAGACAGTTGAAACAGTAATATAATATACAGTAGTCCACCTTGAAACAGTAATATAGACAGTATAAACAGTAATATACACCACCCTTGAAACAGTAATATAGACAGTAGTCCACCTCCTTGAAACAGTAATATAGACAGTAGTCCACCTCCTTGAAACAGTAATATAGACAGTAGTCCAGTCCACCTCCTTGTAACAGTAATATAGACAGTAGTCCACCCCCTTGAAACAGTAATATAGACAGTAGTCCACCCCCTTGAAACAGTAATATAGACAGTAGTCCACCCCTTGAAACAGTAATATAGACAGTAGTCCACCCCTTGAAACAGTAATATAGACAGTAGTCCACCCCTTGAAACCTTGAAACAGTAATATAGACAGTAGTCCACCTCCTTGAAACAGTAATATACAGTAGTCCACCCCCTTGAAACAGTAATATAGACACTAGTCCACCCTCTTGAAACAGTAATATAGACACTAGTCCATCCCCTTGAAACAGTAATATAGACAGTAGTCCACCCCCTTGAAACAGTAATAGACACAGTAGTCCATCCCCTTGAAACAGTAATATAGACACTAGTCCACCCCCTTGAAACAGTAATATAGACACTAGTCCACCCTCTTGAAACAGTAATATAGACACTAGTCCACCCCCTTGAAACAGTAATATAGACAGTAGTCCACCCTCTTGAAACAGTAATATAGACACTAGTCCACCCCCTTGAAACAGTAATATAGACAGTAGTCCACCCCCTTGAAACAGTAATATAGACAGTAGTCCATCCCCTTGAAACAGTAATATAGACACTAGTCCACCCTCTTGAAACAGTAATATAGACACTAGTCCACCCCCTTGAAACAGTGATATAGACAGTAGTCCACCCCTTGAAACAGTAATATACACAGTAGTCCACCTTCTTGAAACAGTAATATAGACAGTAGTCCACCCCCTTGAAACAGTAATATAGACAGCAGTCCACCTCCTTGAAACAGTAATATAGACAGAAGTCCACCTCCTTGAAACAGTAATATACACAGTAGTCCACCTTCTTGAAACAGTAATATAGACAGTAGTCCACCCCCTTGAAACAGTAATATAGACAGCAGTCCACCTCCTTGAAACAGTAATATAGACAGTAGTCCACCTCCTTGAAACAGTGATATAGACAGTAGTCCACCCCCTTGAAACAGTAATATAGACAGTAGTCCACCTCCTTGTAACAGTAATATAGACAGTAGTCCACCTCCTTGAAACAGTAATATACACAGTAGTCCACCTCCTTGAAACAGTAATATACACAGTAGTCCACCCCCTTGAAACAGTAATATACACAGTAGTCCACCCCTTGAAACAGTAATATAGACAGTAGTCCACCCCCTTGAAACAGTAATATACACAGTAGTCCATCCCCTTGAAACAGTAATATAGACAGTAGTCCACCCCCTTGAAACAGTAATATAGACAGTAGTCCACCTCCTTGAAACAGTAATATACACAGTAGTCCACCCCTTGAAACAGTAATATAGACAGTAGTCCACCCCCTTGAAACAGTAATATAGACAGTAGTCCACCCCCTTGAAACAGTAATATAGACAATAGTCCACCCCCCTTGAAACAGTAATATAGACAGTAGTCCACCCCTTGAAACAGTAATATAGACAGTAGTCCACCTCCTTGAAACAGTAATATAGACAGTAGTCCACCTCCTTGAAACAGTAATATAGACAGTAGTCCACCTCCTTGAAACAGTGATATAGACAGTAGTCCACCCCCTTGAAACAGTATTATAGACAGTAGTCCACCTCCTTGTAACAGTAATATAGACAGTAGTCCACCTCCTTGTAACAGTAATATAGACAGTAGTCCACCCCCTTGAAACAGTAATATAGACAGTAGTCCACCTCCTTGTAACAGTAACATAGACAGCAGTCCACCTCCTTGTAACAGTAATATAGACACTTGTCTACCCCCTTGAAACAGTAATATAGACAGCAGTCCACCCCCTTGAAACAGTAATATAGACAGTAGTCCACCCCCTTGAAACAGTAATATGGACAGTAGTCCATCCCCTTGAAACAGTAATATAGACAGCAGTCCATCCCCTTGAAAGAGTAATATAGACAGCAGTCCATCCCCTTGAAACAGTAATATAGACAGTAGTCCACCTCCTTGTAACAGTATTATAGACAGTAGTCCACCTCCTTGTAACAGTAATATAGACAGTAGTCCATCCCCTTGAAACATTAATATAGACACTAGTCCATCCCCTTGAAACAGTAATATAGACACTAGTCCACCCCCTTGAAACAGTAATATAGACAGTAGTCCACCCCCTTAAAACAGTAATATAGACAGTAGTCCACCCCCTTGAAACAGTAATATAGACAGTAGTCCACCCCCTTGAAACAGTAATATAGACAGTAGTCCACCCCCTTGAAACAGTAACATAGACAGCAGTCCACCCCCTTGAAACAGTAATATAGACAGTAGACAACCCCCTTGAAACAGTAATATAGACAGTAGTCCACCTCCTTGAAACAGTAATATAGACAGCAGTCCACCCCTATGAAACAGTAATATAGACAGCAGTCCACCCCCCTTGAAACAGTAATATAGACAGTAGTCCACCCCCTTGAAACAGTAATATAGACAGTAGACCACCCCCTTGAAACAGTAATATAGACAGTAGTCTACCCCCTTGAAACAGTAATATAGACAGTAGACCACCCCCTTGAAACAGTAATATAGACACTAGTCCACCTCCTTGAAACAGTAATATAGACAGCAGTCCACCCCTATGAAACAGTAATATAGACAGCAGTCCACCCCCTTGAAACAGTAATATAGACAGTAGTCCACCCCCTTGAAACAGTAATATAGACAGTAGTCCACCCCTTGAAACAGTAATATAGACAGTAGACCACCCCCCTTGAAACAGTAATATAGACAGTAGTCCACCCCTTGAAACAGTAATATAGACAGTAGTCCACCCCTTGAAACAGTAATATGGACAGTAGTTCCACCCCTTGAAACAGTAATATAGACAGTAGTCCACCCCTTGAAACAGTAATATAGACAGTAGTCCACCCCTTGAAACAGTAATATGGACAGTAGTTCACCCCCTTGAAAGAGTAATATAGACAGTAGTCCACCCCCTTGAAAGAGTAATATAGACAGTAGTCCACCCCCTTGAAAGAGTAATATAGACAGTAGTCCACCCCCTTGAAACAGTAATATACACAGTAGTCCACCTCCTTGTAACAGTAATATAGACAGTAGTCCACCCCCTTGAAAGAGTATTATAGACAGTAGTCCACCTCCTTGTAACAGTAATATAGACAGTAGTCCACCCCCTTGAAAGAGTAATATAGACAGTAGTCCACCCCCTTGAAAGAGTAAACACAAATTCATATAAGAGTATTAGTATCAGCAAGAACAAAATCGTAATGGTATCGTTTACGTTTCACAACACTTAATGTTTCTTCTGTGTGTGTGTGTGCGTGTGCGTGCGTGTGTACACGTACAGTATGCAATTCCTTCCATTAAGCTATATGTATACTTGTCACCAGTGTCTGTATAAATGTAATCTATTCATCTCCACAAATATCATGCTTGTGACTTAAATGAATACAATTTTGGAAATAGACGACACAGAAGATTTATTTATTACAAGCATCCTTTTCAACCGACCCTTACAGAAAAAATATAGACACTGGACAAAAGTACAGTACAGTATACTTTAAGTCCATGCATGCATCTGCACACGGTATAATGCAAGGGCATGCATACGTGTATCCGCAGTATCTTGCAAATACATGCATACGTGTTCACGCAGTATAAGGACATTAATACTTGTACACGCAGTATAAGGACATGCATACGTGTACACGCAGTATAAGGACATGAATACGTGTACACGCAGTATAAGGACATGCATACGTGTATAGGCAGTATAAGGACATGCTTACGTATTCATGCAGTATAAGGACACCCACACGTCTACACGCAGTATAAGGACATATACGTGTTCATGCAGTATAAGGACATGCATACGTCTACAAGCAGTATAAGGACATGCATACGTGTTCACGCAGTATAAGGACATATACGTGTTCACGCAGTATAAGGACATATACGTGTTCACGCAGTATAAGGACATATACGTGTTCACGCAGTATAAGGACATATACGTGTACAAGCAGTATAAAGACATGCATACGTATTCACGCAGTATAAGGACATGCATAAGTGTACAAGCAGTATAAGGACATGCTTACGTATTCATGCAGTATAAGGACACCCACACGTCTACATGCAGTATAAGGACATGCATACGTTTAAACGCAGTAAGATGCGAGGATATGCATCGATCTACACTCGACACACACGATATAATGCAGACAGACTAACTGGTTATATCAGCAGAGGTTCTACAAGAGTCTAAGTGATCTTACTGTTGCAGGTAAGTCCATTCCCAGTGAAGCCAGGTAAACAGCCACAAGAGAAGGATCCAATGGTGTTGCTGCACTGAGCATTGCTGTCACAGCCGCCGTTGTTGGTATTACATTCGTTTACATCTGAAAGTTTATGTTATTGCTGCATCATCTCGTATAATCCCATAAACCAGTTAGAAAACAATACCCATTAAGATCGGGGTTGGAATTGGTCTTCATTAACCCATGCTTAAGAGGCGATTAACAGGATCGGGTGGTCAGGTTCGCTGACTTGGTTGATGATGTCATCGTACCCCAATGCTCATACTGTCAATCACTGGATTGTCTGGGAAAGACTCAATTATTAACCGACCTGCGCCATATAGATGAAATATTGCATCAGCAATTGGGATATGATGACATGTGTCAACCAAGTCAGCGAGCCCGACAACCCGATGCCCCTCAGGGTTACTGAAGATCAATTCTAACCAGGGTATTTACGGGTCTGTAGTAATTAGGAAAGAAACGTAAGCACAGGTATTCGTATTGCCAATCTCAAGCACCTCCACAAATTAACGAAAACTACTCTCCTATAAACCTTCACTAACATATATAGAACCATTCATCTAAAACGCATATACAGAACTCTCGATCTCTGACAGACATCCACATTACGAAAACTACTCTCCTATAAACCTTCACTAACATATATAGAACCATTCATCTAAAACGCATATACAGAACTCTCGATATCTGACGGACATCCACTTCTTGATAAAGAGAATCGGTAAATTAATTACGAAAACTATTCTCCTATAAACCTTCACATATAACTGTAGAACCATTACACCATTTAAAACGCATATACACGCCTCTCGATATCCGACGGACACCCAGTTTTTGTCAAAAAAGAATCAATGAGTGAGGTTTAACGCTGGGTATAGCAAAACCAAGAACAAGAGGATCGTGCTTCCATATTCAACCTATGTTGGGAATCGAACTCCGGGCTTCGGCTATAAATTTGAAATATTACCTATACATCCAACTCTACCATCTCCGCTGTAACCAGTATTACAGGGACAGGTATAGGAGCCAAATGTATCAATGCAGACAGCATTAGCTCCGCATGTGGCTCCGTTGAGACATTCGTTAACATCTGAAACGGAAACATAGAAATAAGGAAGATCAAAATACAATGAAACAGATAATCGTTACCTGATAATAAATTCTGTGTTATAGTGTATCAGCGCATAGTTTGCATCATCAGAGTTTCCTGTGCAACCGGAGAAACGTGAAAGCAAACTGCACACACACACGTTGAAACTCCTTCAATCCGGACTTTATCGTTATAGGTCCACCCGCTTTGATTAACAATTTCTGATTCATACATATAGTTTTAGTTCAGAAAACGTTCTCGAAAGTTATTGCCCAAAACAAGACTTCCCCATGAAGAGTCAGGGTATCAGGGTGTCACGTTATACAAGAATCATCCCTGCAACTGATACAGCACTTGGAATCTAAATCATACAATAACAATTGTTATTTCATAGAAAAATAGCTTAACTATTCCTGAACGTTCAAACCCGAATGTGATAATAGAGTGAGTGAGTGAGTTTAAGTTTCCAGCAATATCACTGCGGGTGACATCAGAAATGGTCTTTACTCTTTGCCCCCATGCTTCAATCGAACCCAGGTCTTCGGCGAGACGAGCGAACGCTTGACCCACTAGGCTACCCCACCGCCCCCTTGTGATAATAGAAAGAACATACATGCTATGATTTAATTGTAAAAGAAACATATGTATGGACAAGGAACACACTAACTGAAGCAGTTGAATCCATCGCCGGTGTAGCCACTGTTGCAGGTGCAGGTGAAGGAACCAACATTGTTGGCGCACGCAGCGTTGCTGTCGCAGCCACCGTTGTTGGTAAGACATTCGTTTACATCTGAAAATCGATTTTACTGCTGCATTATTCCCTTAGATTTCACCCCAGTAAACCAGGGAAAACCTACATAGTTATTTGATTGTTGCTTTACCCCAATGCAGTAAACATTTAAAAGGAATTTTACTTTACATCCACTTACACTGGGTTAGGCAAGCCATTCGATCACCATATGGGATATTTACAGTACTTTGTTTATGTTGGCTACCGAGAGTGTCATTTCAAACTACTATTGTCATCAAAAGGTTGACATTATTGTTGTATATTCTTGAACATATATATACCAGTCATTTGTTGTTTTACGCCGCATTGAGAAATATTAAACTATATTGCGGCGACCTGAGAATAACAAACCAGTGAATGAGTGAGTTTAGTTTTATGCCGCACTCAGCAATATTACGGCTATAATGCGGAGGTCTGTAAATAATAGAGTCTGGACCAGACAAGCCAGTGATCAACATCATGAGCATCGATCTACGCAATTGGGAACCGATGTGACAACCAAGTCAGCGAGCCTGACCACTCGATCCCGTTATTAGCCTCTTACAACAAGTATGGGTTGCTGATGATCAATTCTAACCCGGATCTTCACGGGTCCACAAGAATGTAGTACTTATGCTTTTCTATCAAATTAACAGAATTGTATGTAAACTGAAGAGGATGGTTGAGATTCTTCATCACAGAAGCTTTAGAAGCTAATCACCTATGCAGCTGACGGCCGGATCTCCGGTGTATCCCGCGGGGCACCCACAGGTGAATGAACCCGGTGTGTCAATGCAGACTGTAGGGGCAACACAGTTGTTGTTGCCTGTCAAACACTCGTTGATATCTGAAAGAGTGAGAGAGTGAGATTAAAATATTTCATTTGTTTGCTAGATCCATGGTCGTGTGTTCACGTGGCAACTCATACAAGTCCGGAATTCTGCCACTATTTTAAGGCATGAAGAGTGAGTGAGTTTTACGCCGCTTTTAGCAATATTCTAGCAATATCACGGCGTGGGACACCAGAAATGGGCTTCACACATTGTACCCATGTGGGGAATCGAACCCAGGCCTTCGGGTTTAACCACTGGATTACCCCCACCTCCCTCCCCCCGCCCTAGGGTTGGAGTGAGTGAGTGGGTTGGGTTCAACACCAGTTTGAACAGATGTTCAAATTATAACACAACTTGCTGGCTACATAGACACGTAAAACAGGTGGGATGCACTTACTAAAGTAAAACTGACTGACTGACTGAGTTTGGTTTTACGCCGCTTTTAGCAATATTCCAGCAACATCACGGCGGGGGACACCAGAAATGGGCACTAAAGTAAAAACCGAATGCACATGGTTCAGACAGACCATGGTCGTATTTGGGATGAATTTAGGATGAAGGGTGATAAACTTGGTGCCACTGCTCTCGGGGTCCTTATCTTATGTGTAAATATAATGCAACAAGGTGTTTAATAAAATCAAAAAGGAGACCATAACAATGTTTCAGCCAAAACCTGAGGCAATCTAGACTTGCTAAATTATTCATGACTTGAACTGGCTTCATTATATATTTCAATATCGGACACCTTGCCGGCATCTCATGCAGGTGAACAGCAACACACTAAATTGGCAACGTAGTGGTAGTCTTCTTACTTATGCAGAAGGTGCCTGAGCCGGTGTAGCCACTGTTGCAGGTGCAGGTGAAGGAGCCAATACTGTTGGCGCACGCAGCGTTGCTGTCGCAGCCACCGTTGTTGGTAAGACATTCGTTTACATCTGAAAGTTAATATCATACATTTAATCCCTGAACCTGGTGAAGAACTAACGGTAAACGGCATTTCCAATAGCCTGTGTGATTGCGTGTGTGTTGCTTGAGACAACGGTAGCAGGACGGAAGAAAACGGCACTATTTCTCAGACAACTTTTCAAATACAACGGGGACAGTTTTATACATATATGTGGCCCAAAATGTCGTCATAAAAGACAAGACATCATGGCTGATCATGAAGATTTTATGTTCTGACACTCGTATCAAATAATCAGCATGGCACACATGCGTATAGTTTCTTTATATGGTGTGATGAGATGGTAAGGTTGCTATACCGTCACTTTGAACAATGTCTCAGATATGCCACAGCGTGTCAGTTGCTGTATCCGATAATCCCGAGATGGTTCATGTGTTATACGTTTACCAGTTGCTGAAACCACTGGTGTGGTGTTGACAGATCACAACTCATAAAATATTAGATCGGGTTACACCACACAATGCCTCAGTAAAGCTTTCAAGAAGATTTATGGTGGACATGTTGGGGAAATCACAAAATCGTGCAGCTTTAATACCGCTGAGTCAAATATATACTCACGATATAGTCCCAATTGTACAATCGACTCTGCTTTTAGCAGAGATTGCTTATGGATGTGGAAAGGGTTTTGTCGCTTCTATTTCGAACCCATGATCAAACACTTCCGCACATACGGACACAACATTACAGCGACTTGCTGAGGTTGGGGCAACTGGGCCAAGGGTGCTTTCTTGAGACTACAGCAAGTACCCTCTTCATATTATCATAAAACATACAGGAAGACAACATTTACCTGTACATGCAACCAAACCATCTCCGGTGTACCCAGGCAAGCAGTTGCAAGCGTAGCTACCAACCGAATTCTCACACACAGAATTTGCTTGACAGTTGTTGCTTGACATACATTCGTTGATATCTGAAACAAGACCAGTTTCAAATCAGAACCACGCAAGTCAATAAATATATATTACCTTCAACATTTTTTCTTGATAGGATACTGACCAACGGTTATGCAAACTCAATTCGTTTAACAATTAACATGTTTGTCATTCTTTCTTTGCATGGATATCTATAGCATCAAAAGCACACTGAAATGCCAGACATGTTTTAGACGTCTTTAGACGTCTTTATATGAATAGTTATGTCAGAGAGCCAATAAGTTAGTCAGAGAGTTAGCAGTCAGAGAATCAGTCAGACAGAGTCAACCAGTCAGACAGTCAGTCAGAGAGTCAGTCAGTCAGCGAGTCAGTCAGAAGTTAGTCAATTAGTCAGAGAGTCAGTTAGAAGTTAGTCAGTCAGTCAGACAGTCAGTTAGTCAGAGAGACAGTTAGAAGTTAGTCAGTCAGTCAGAGAGTCAGTCAGTCAGAGAGTCAGTTAGAAGTTATTCAGTCAGTCAGAGAGTCAGTCAGAAGTTAGTCAGTCAGAGAGTCAGAAGTTAGTCAGTCAGTCAGAGAGTCAGTCAGTCAGAGATTCAGTCAGTCAGTCAGACAGAGAGTCAGTAATCGAAATAAATATTGACCAGTGCAAGCTATGGTTGGTGTGCCGGTGTACCCGCTCGGACATGCGCAGGAAAAGGTTCCAATTGAGTTGGTACATATTGCAGCTGTGCCACAGTTGTTACTTCCAGAAGTACACTCGTTGATATCTGAAAGTGATTTCCAGAAAATAACTGACTTTCCCACATGAATTTGTTCTGTGCACATGAATATTTATGTATATATTACACTTAATTTAACCATGTCCGTAGAACAGATCGCCTTACCTGATAAGTTTATAATAAATAGTTCACTGAAAACCACCATCAAGTTGACTGTTTAAAATAAGGCCCCGTCGGGCTGTAGAAACGATGGGTCCGATACATAGTTTTGATATCAAATTCATGCTTGACATAAGTTAGAAATATGTTCCGCAGAACATTAAAAACACATTGTTTCATGGCCATGACATATTAACTAAAACCATTTGTAATGCCCTGAACTAGAACATGCCCCTTATGTACCGCCCAACCTCCTGTGAAGGTGTATTACTGATGTCCCCTTATAATTCAGTTAAGAGTTTCTACCGTACCTGTGCAGCTGAATCCGTTGCCGGTGTAGCCGCTGTTGCAGGTGCAGGTGAAGGAACCAATAGTGTTGGCGCACGCAGCGTTGCTGTCGCAGCCACCGTTGTTGGTAAGACATTCGTTTACATCTGAAAATCGATTTTACTGCTGCATTTATCCCATGTATTTTAAACAAGAATTATCAAACAAGAAAACATAAGCAATTATAACATAGTTTCGTGTTTAATCCATTCATCTTCACGTGGAATGCATATTTAATTTCAATGCACACGTGATAAAACATTGATGCAAATCTCTATTTTGACTTGCACCGTGTGCTCCCATTCTTTCTCCTCGAGTACAATTGGCCTGCCTTTGCACGTGTTTTTGTGATTCATACATGTAGTGTTTACCCTTTAAGGAATTGGTTTCTGAGAATAGTTAAGACGCGTTTAGCACTGACACTATGTATTTGTGACGGGTGCCATGAGTGAGGTGGCGACCTCCATCTCATCATCACTATTTGATAATGAGGAATAAACACATGCATATCATACAATTAGAATCGTCCTATGGACTCTTTCAATTTCTCAAGGTTATTGACATTGTTTGTCGGATTCATTAGGTCATTCATATAGAGAATTAACTATCATCTCGTCCGTGTCAATACTTCCCTTGTATTTAGTCTGCCAGCGGATGGCTGAAATGGTCTTGTCTTGTAACCATGACAACGAAAACATTAATGCGGAATTAAAATCTGAAAATATCATTCTAATAATGATTACAACCCCCACCCGAAAGTACATGAATGGTTTCACATAATTCAGTTAAGAGTTTGTACCGTACCTGTGCAGCTGAATCCATTGCCGCTGTAGCCGTTGTTGCAGGTGCAGGAGAAGGAACCAATACTGTTGGCGCACACAGCGTTGCTATCGCAGCCACCGTTGTTGGTGCTACATTCGTTTATATCTGAAAGTGGATGTTAAACTCTGCATAATCTCATACCTTTAATCCCTGAAAAACATGGAAAAAACCGTAGCATTTCATTGTTGCTTTACTCCCACGCAGCAAACATTTGAAAACAATTTTAGTTTACATCGACTTCATTTGAGACAGGTAGGGAGTGGTTGAACATATATTTGGCTGTAGGTTTACGGTATTCGTTTACGTTGGCTACCGAGAATGTCGTTTCAAACTGCTACTCACACTGTGAAAACTGGCGAGTTTCAGAAACCGATTGTTTTAAAGACAAAAGAACTTCATACGTTAAATGAATGTGCAGCGATATGTTTTTGTAAAATATCATTATGATAATAACTGTTATCCCATCCGACAGCAACTTAATGATTTCATATAATTCAGTTTCTACCGTACCTGTGCAGCTGAATCCGTTGCCGGTGTAGCCGCTGTTGCAGGTGCAGGTGAAGGAACCAATAGTGTTGGCGCACGCAGCGTTGCTGTCGCATCCACCGTTGTTAGTAAGACATTCGTTTACATCTGAAAACCGTTTTTACTGCAGTATAGTTTTAGTAAATGTGCTCCAAGTGAACCAGGAAAATGGGGGTTGTTGTTAGATTGTTGCGTCACACCGCAGTAGCAATAGCAAATTTATCTTACGAAATACTGGGAAATAATTTGCCCCAAGCAAGTCAGTGGGCGATCACCACTGTATCTGTAAGTTAATGGTATTCGTTTATGTTTTATTCCGATGGGTTTTCAACGATTCAGATGGATCCAATACGTATCTTTTTGACAAAATGGCAGAGACACTTTACTTTTCTTGAGTTTATGGACTAGGAGATGAAAAGTGAAACCCTCCAAACAAGCGCATGTAAAAGACCCAATTGATTTGGAGAATACTAAAAGTATTGTTTTTAACCGAAATTTGTCGTGTCAAATATTAGTGTTTGTTTCGAAATTCCATTTTGTTACCGTTACTTTTATTATTTTCTCGTAATTTCGATTATTTTCTAGAAATTCCCAGTTTTTAAAATAGACATGAACTAACAAAGAAGTTTCGAAAAAACATCACCGAAAAATGAAACAATGAGAATTTTCGGTTTAAAAATAAATCTATGCTGCCAACGTTTGAACATACACTTCTTAAAATATTTGTTGTCTTGCCTTCTACTTGACAAGACTGCTTATGAGCAAAACCTAAGCTAAACTATATCTTTACAGAATTTTGTTTTAATTAAAAAATCCTCCCATCCCTCCAGAATATTTTTTTGTGGGTCTCAAAATTACCCTTCTTAAAACAACACTTTACAATTCAGGATTCAGGATTTTAATAATAAGGGGTTGTGTTGTGTTTACTGTTCTAAGTGTACAAATGAACAAGAAAATGTGATAGAGCTGATGTAGGTTCACTGAGTATTTATTTTAGATACATTTTAATTAACATACTTCAAATACCGGCTTTCCTTCCTTGCAGTGCATCTCTCGTTACAAATTGGCGTGCGTATAGTGTTAAATACACCATACAATTTAGGCTGTGATTGCAGTAAGCATGAACGTAGTTCTACGCACCTGTCTGTATACAACAGACGCCAGAATAACAGAGGAGGTTGTTGCTGAAGGGAGGATCTTTTTCCCAACCTGCCGGACATGCGGTAGCATAGCACTTTCTGGCCGTGTTCCTGACTTGGCACTCTGAAACAAGGTATATATTTCAAGTTTAATCACTCACGAAAAGGGCCCAAACTAATTCAGTCATAGATTTGTGTGTGATTGCGAGTGTTTGGTTCTTTTTTCTTTTCTTTTTTTTCGGGGGGGGGGGGTTATTGTTGCTGTGTTTTTTGTCTGTTTTGGGGTTGTTTTGGTTTGTTTGTGTTTTTTGCCGTTGTTGTTGTTGTGTGTGTGTGTGTGTGTGTGTGTGTGTGTGTGTGTGTGTGTGTGTGTGTGTGTGTGTGTGTGTGTGTGTGTGTGTTTTGAGGGGCGTCATTTCATTTCTTATGAAAGTTTTTCATTCACACAGAAATACATATATTGCGTAGATCAATGTAACTTGTAAGATTGACATCATTTTATAAGAAACATCTATTACTATACATTGAATTTTCAAGAATCTTTTAAACCGACTTCCTCGGGTTCCTCAACATTATGTATGTACAAGTAAATATTTTAATCTCCTAGTATTTAACTCGGGTGGAGCAAGTTCAAGGACAGTGCAAGGACAAGGCTGACGCCTACTATAATGGGCAATTGACACAATTATGTATGTCATTGTGACCAGTGAAGATCTGGGTTAGAATTGATCTTTAGTAAACCATGCTTGTCGTAACAGGCGACTAACGGCTTCGGTAGACCAGGTTCGCAAACTTAGTTTATGCCTGTCATCTCATCCCAATGGAGTAGATCGATGTTCATGATGCCAATCCCTTGTTTTATGAGCGTCATGTCGTTACACTAGTCATTGAAATGGGTTGATTGAATTGACATGATAGTGGGAATTTATACACATCTCGTAAGATTAAAAGTGAGTGAGTGAGTTTAGTTTTACGCCACACTCAGCAATATTTCAGCTATATGGTTGCGGTCTGTAAATAATCGAGTCTGGACCAGACAAACCAGGGATCTACATCATGAGCATCGATCTACGCAAATGGGATACGATGACATGTGTCAACCAAGTCAGCAAACCTGACCACCCGATCCCGATCATTGGCCTTTGCATCTTCTAACAAGGTCTGTGTGGTTGAAAGCCACCTTGATGATGCCAGACCACAAGGGGCTAGCGCTCTTCTGCTGCCTAAAAATATTAATGGAGAACTATAACCATTACGATATACCCATAGGCAGTCACCTAACAACAGGTTACACTGATCAACAGGGGCCTCACACCAGGTAATACACTGATCAACAGGGACCTCACACCAGGTAATACACTGATCAACAGGGACCTCACACCGGGTAATACACTGATCAACAGGGACCTTACACCAGGTAATACACTGATCAATAGGGACATTACACCAGGTAATACACTGATCAACAGGGACATTACAACAGGTAATACACTGATCAACAGGGACCTAACAACAGGTAATACACTGATCAACAGGGACCTCACACCGGGTAATACACTGATCAACAGGGACCTCACACCAGGTAATACACTGATCAACAGGGGCCTCACACCAGGTAATACACTGATCAACAGGGACCTCACACCGGGTAATACATTGATCAACAGGGAAGATCAATTCCAACCCGGACCTTCACGGGTAGATTAAAAGTACATGGGCGGGCAGGATACCCTTACTTTGTCGCGAGCACTTGATGTCAGCACTATTTGAGAATGATTCATGAACTCGTGCTTCTGAAATGATCGGAATTATACAGTGAACTTTTCTACTATCACAGATTCCCTATTATCATGGAGAGTGTTTTGTCGCTCATATTTATAATTAGTCACCTATGTTCATCCGAGTATCACAAAGGCTACTTGCGTCATTTCGGCGAAAAACTTTTTTTACACCTTTTCTATGAGAAACAACAAAGTATTTTTGGTTATCTTAAAACTCACGGCTCATACATCTGTTCGAAAAAATTTGTTATCGTACAATCATTTTATGACACGATACTTCTAATAACACCATAGCCAAACATGTATAAAATACTTATAAATGGAACGGAAAGGTCCTACATAATAATTATCAAAGACTGGTTCAGAGCGAGATGCCATCATAAATGCAGCACTACGCATGAAGTAAATATTCATCATCTCTCTTGTTTACATACTTGTTGGGTTAGATGTTACCCAGCATATTCAAATACGATGGAAGAGAGGTGTGTGTGTACTCTAAGGGCGACTTCCATCGCCGCCTCTGGGCATAAAAGTTTCTGTCTGACATGAAATGTTTGAACAACAAGATACCACCCTCTTCAATTAGGTTACTTCGTACAAGTACCTTATTCCATACTGTAAAGTTGATATTTTCTAAAGACACAGACCTCTCACTGAAATGCTCCCTTGAGAATCCGCAAATGATAAATTAACTATATCCGCATCGTCGTAATTACTTTACCAACATCCAAATACTGCAACAGTTCTGACATAGAACTAAGTGTTTTCCATACATAAATAGAACATAATTAATATGGATACACCTTCTTTATAGCAACAGATGCGACGTTTCGGTGTAGAGTGAATGAGATACGTTTTACGCCGCTTTTAGCAATATTCAAGCAATATCACAGCGGGGGACACCAGAAATGGGCTTCACACATTGTACCCATGTGGGGAATCGAACCCGGGCATTCGGCGTGACAAGCGGACGCTTTAACCACTAGGCTACCCTCCGGCCTACCGCCCCGTTTCGGTGTCGATGCTAACACTATTATCAAGCAAGTGATACATAACATTACCTGCTTCTAAATACCACTTAAAGAAGTTATACATCGTTAAATATTTAACAAGTTGCTTTAATGATTTTAATACCTTTATTAAGCACATTTGGGTAAACAGTGTGGATGTGTCTTTCATTGGTAAGCCCTTACATGACTTTCAACTATTAGGTACTGGAATCGTATATAATTTCACGGGGTGCAATTTTCGCGGAAAGTTCACAAAAGACCTATTAGCGCAGTAGTTTTTTCGCGCATTTCAAACGCCTGAGTGGTGGTGTCCATCACAAAGTTTTCACAACCCATAGACATGCAATAATCAAAGCTAGCCGCCATAATTGAATCGTGTTTACTAAAACAATCAGAGAGAGGTGGGATTATACTTGTGTCAACATTGTGATTTGTGACTGATGTAAGTGAGCTTCGTTCATTTTGTGATTTCGAGTAATCAGCTATCACTTAGCTGACAAACTGATAACAAACATTTGCTGATTGTGATCGCTATTACTAGTATACTAGTATATGCCTCTATTCCTTTGTATATTGTTTTGAAGTTGTTATCTGAGAGAATAAACAAATTGCATGTTGTTCCTACTTGAGTATTTGTCATGACTTGACCATGAATATTTCGCTTGGTATGATTATTGACGCACAATCATTTTGCGCTAAAAGCGCGAAAATTAATCCCACGCGAAAATATCTACGATTACAGTATCCTTCTTCAGAGAGATTAACGTTGATACTATTGTGTACTCTTGAATAACATTTGGTATACGTCAACGGTGTCGTACCTGGAAGTAGACATTTGTTATTACAGTAAAAATCCTTTGATGTTCGGCCGAGGTAGATACATGTTGTTTTAAAGGATTAATGAGATGGGTGACACTAAAACTTGAACTGGTGAGTGAACTCGGAGTTCACTAATTAGTGATATGAACTCACTAGTTCTAACTATGAACATAGTTGCTGATATGAACTCACTAGTTAAATGACAAATAACACAATTATGATTATTTGATTGATATCAACTCACAAATTAACTATAGAATTTAGATTGATTGATATAAACTCACACTGGGTATATATCATGGTAATTCCACCAAGAATCTATCACTGTCAAAAATGGCAAACCAGCAGTTAGACTATAAGTTTCTCCCGACTTCACGTGGTGGACGTTATCTAGTTGTTGAAGGCTTTGTGTTTCGATTGAATCGAAGACGCAACGATGCTTCATGGGCATCTTGGAGATGCCAGGAGAAGACATGTGCTGCGACTGTCTCTACTGTGAACGACATCATCACCAAGCATCCCAGCCCACATAACCATGGACCTGTCCATAATGAGATAAAGGTATGTTGTGCGTAAATGTATCTATAAATTATAATATTAAAATGGTATAAAGCTCTGCTACATTTGTTCATTATTTGCACAATTTTAGACAAATGTGTTCGAAAAGCACTTCATTAGATTTATGCAGCCATAACATTACATTAATTTTGGTTATATCTTATTTACAGGTCAGAGAGACACTGGACAGGATGAAGATGGTGGCCAAGTCATCTCTGGGTCCGATACCGACGCTGTACAACGAGGTTCTGGCCTCAGTGAGCGATGGTCCTTGGACGGAAGAGAACAGGTCGTTCATCGCAGAAATGCCGACGTACGACACCGTCAAGAACAGACTGTACCAGGCCCGAAGATCCACCTTCCCACCCATCGGATTTTATTATTATAAATCATATATTACTATGCTTAAACTATGTCATTCATTTTGTGTACTTCGCGGCTGATGATCAATAATCACAAATTATGTATTCATAAAATAATCTTGTGCTTCCAGGTAGACGACGTGTGGCTGAACGCACTTGCAGACATGCCTGACGACCCTCGCTGCCTCCGTCTCGCCGACTACGTGACCACCCAGTGGGTGGAAGGACATATACCCAAGACAGCGTGGAACCACTACCAGAACACCGGTCCAAGAACCAATAACCACCTGGAAGGTTGGCATGGTCGCCTTAAGAAAATTATTTCTAAGGCTCACCCCAATGTCTTCGAGATGTTGTCTTTCCTCAGGAAAGAGCAGAAACTGAACGAAATCAAGCTTGTTCAGTACGCTGCTGGGAGGAAACCGCCACCAAAAAGGAGGAAGTACATCCATGTCAACTCAAGACTAGAGACTCTGAAGCAAGAACTCCGAGATGGTGCCATGAGTGTCATGGTTTACGCTGATGCCGTGTCGCATCTAATGAAGTTACAGTGAACTGACATTTAGTGTGTGACTTTGAAGTGTGATGCAGTAGACCTAGTGCTAAGTACTGAATGCAATGTTAATCATGCTTTGTGTATATTATTATTTAATTTATGTATGTAATATTAATGTAAATGAACTAATAAAATAAAATAGTGATACCTGATACTTGTACATGACAGTGTTGACAATATCATTTTTGTGATATTTGTGTATATTTATTGAACTTTATTGTATACATATGACTTATGAAATAAAAGTAAGAACGAAACTATGCTATGTATTTTGTTTTTACCTTGGGAATGGTTTGTGGATGTATTCCATCTATTAACTCATTTTTGTATGACCCATGTGGTTGAAATAACATAGAACCTCCATTGTTCTCTGGAGGCAGTGGACTTGAAAATCCTTACATGCTCCACTGGTTTGTTGTTTTAAACATCACAAATGTCTACTTCCAGGTATGTAACCGTCAACATTAGGTTCAACTTCATGTGTAAAATGTAACTGTCGACTGGAATTAATATTGTTTCTGAACAGAGTTCAATTTTAGCGTCACCACGGTTGTTTTGCCCTTATATAACAGCTTTTACAGGGGCGATACTCCAATAGATCGATAAGGCTGCAGAAGAAAGCCTGGATGATGTCTATAGGGTACAAAATGACTGCAGATATGATGAGGTATATCAAAGCACTGATTGACGTGGACAACAGGCATATAAGCGACTATTAAGACTGACTGACTGACTGAGTTTGGTTTTACGCCGCTTTTAGCAATATTCCAGCAACATCACGGCGGGGGACACCAGAAATGGGCTTCACACATTGTACCCATGTGGGACTATTAAGATCATAAGGATGTACAGTTGAAATGAGATGAAGATTATTTAGTGATGAGTACCTTCTCGGCTGGAATGTAACACCCTTGATCGTTTTTGATGGCATCATTTCCAGTAAGTATGGTAATGTTGTCCCAATATATGCTGTGGTCTGGGTGGGCGTCGGGAAAAATGTTAGTTGATATATATATTGTTTCCTAAACCTGTTCTTCAATATGATTGATATGCTATTAAACAACATCGATCACATTCCACGAACCTTACGCTCACATACAGCCTATTTCGTATTAATGAAATACCAATGTCGAAAGAATCGAAATTCTGAACAATGTATGCCTTATTTTGTCTTTTCGAAAATATGATTTAAGTTGTCTCATTATTTTCCAAAGTTGCCTATACACGTTTATGGCACAGGCAATGTGTCAAGTCACTTATTTTTTTCATAAATTGCCTGATTCACTCATACAGTTTACAAACTGCAATTGTAGTAGATATTTCAGTCATTCTATAATCTGACTGAACATTCTCGTACACGTATCGCAAGCAGTACGGATTCTCTTGAAAAAAGAGCTCTAAACTCTGATGCCTATTTCCAATCAGGACCAAAACGTGGTGTAATGCATGAGACTGGTGTTCTTGATTCAGTTATGGGACAATTAAATGTGGTTTTGAATAGCTTACATGAGGCCTACAAGGACAGTTGCAAGGCTCGAACCTAGAAACTGAATATGATCTGAATGACGATGTTCTGCTGTTATCTTAATTACCGTGATGTGACCTAAAGTCTCAGCAACTGTGTCAGTGAGTGAGTTTAGTTTTACGCCGCATTCAGCAATATTCCAAATATAAGGCGGAGGTCTGTAAATAATCGACTCTCGACCAGACAATCCAGTGATCAACAGCATGACCATCGATCTACGCAATTGGGAACCGATGAAATGGGTCAAACCAAGTCAGCGAGCCTGACCACACGATCCCGTTAGTCGCCTCCTATGACAAGCATGGTTACTGAAGATCAATTCTAACCCGGATCTTCACGGAGCAGCCATGTGTATCCTTTCAACTTCATATTGGGAAAATAACTAGTAAAACTATATTTCTTGAACGTTAGTTTTGAATTACAGTGATGGAACCAAACTATGATATTAAATACATTAAATAGACACTACACAGGCATCTAAAATCGGATACTATAAATACATATATACTGCTACTCAATGTGTTGTACTTCAATATACTTTATATCTTTGACACACTATTGCCAAGGCTCTGTTGTCGATAAAGTACGTATTAAAGTGATTATCTTTGTGAATCCTGGAATTACATGCAAACTTAATAAAACATCACAAGAAAGCGTATCCATTCTAAGCAAAACAATACATAGCCCTGCTCATTAGTGTCACTCAGAAGTTGTACTTGATATGGTAGATGTTGTACTTGTTCGATGTCCAATGACAAGAACGAAAATGTTCGTAAAGACATCATTTGAAAATATTTTAGCTTCATACATGTAGGACAATTATGATAAAACAACCTACATAATAAACTGTACATGTCCACACAATTTCAATTTCAACTCCCTTTGCAATTTTTTTTTTAAATGAGAGGATATCTTAACTTTTTTTTACACTAAAACATCGTTAATCTGTAAAATACTCACGGCTTATACTCCAGATCATTTCCATAATGGTCGCGGAATTAACCACCGTTATAAAGACAAACAGCAGCCCCAAAACCTTTCCTGAGTTGGCGGGCGCCATATTGTTGTCTTGCCGTACTGGAGAAACGCAAAGAACTAACCGTCATAAACTGAAATATATATATTCATTGAGCTTCGTACGCAAACAATGTGTCGTGAACTTAGGCACGGTGGAAGCCACCCTGCTTAAACATGGGCATTGAATAGAACTTGTTGGATTAAGCAAATCGGCCCATGAGGTCATAGAGGGAGAAAAGGGTGGAAGGTGTAAAAGAGGTCTCTCCGCTAGAAACCTCTGCTTAAGGACCCTCCTTGTGATAAAGGCTTTGCCATATTGACGATGAAACATTTGTAGAAAATTCACAAATGTTTTCAATTTTGTGATCACGTTTATTGTCAGTTCATGACGTCTAATTTTTATCTCTGAAGTGTATCTTGTGTAAATTTAAGCACTAAAGAGTGTTTCATTTTAGGTTTCCCCTGAATAGCGCCTGATAATGCAGCAAGGTTTGGTCAAGTTTCAAAGGCTAGGTCAAACAGATGTATAATATAATATCAATGCAAACAGTGATGTTTAGTTCTCACAATAGTATACACTCGGGTGTGGGATGAGGCTGAAAAGGATTTTGATTGCTTCTGACGTAAGGAAATTGGGAATATGACACGAAGTTGCCTACTAGAAGGAGCTATGTTTGCATCAAGTCAGACAATATGCCAACTTTACAAAGAAACCCGGTCGGTCATATTACAAGTATTTGTCCATCAGTGATTTCAGATGACACGATCTTCATGCCTTCAGACACGGGGATTTGTTACTGAACTTACAGACCATAGTTGTTACATCCTTACCTTCAAAAGTTCAAGACGAATTGACAAAATGAAAGCTAGTGTCATCTGACTATGAATACAATATTTGATACGTTGGACGTTATCAATGATATAATTTATACGAAACTTGGAGAAATGACAGGCAGACATCCCCATGTGTATCAATTGTGCTCCTTTCTTGTACTGATCCGTTTCTTTATGCATATGAATTGGTGATGTCAACACAAGGGAACTTCAAGTACGTCCATAATCTCATATGATTCAATAGTGGCCAGAAAATGTCCTTCCACTTATTTAATAACCTGAAATGTAAATAAACATGACCAGTGAATCATCCTCTTCTGTATAATAGCTACACCTGTGTATTGTTTCAGATTCAATAGTGGCCAGAAAATGTCCTTCCACTTATTTAATAACCTGAAATGTAAATAAACATGACCAGTGAATCATCCTCTTCTGTATAATAGCTACACCTGTGTATTGTTTCAGATTCAATAGTGGCCAGAAAATGTCCTTCCACTTATTTAATAACCTGAAATGTAAATAAACATGACCAGTGAATCATCCTCTTCTGTTTAATAGCTACACCTGTGTATTGTTTCAGATTCAATAGTGGCCAGAAAATGTCCTTCCACTTACTTAATAACCTGAAATGTAAATAAACATGACCAGTGAATCATCCTCTTCTGTTTAATAGCTACACCTGTGTATTGTTTCAGATTCAATAGTGGCCAGAAAATGTCCTTCCACTTATTTAATAACCTGAAATGTAAATAAACATGACCAGTTAATAACCTGAAATGTAAATAAACATGACCAGTGAATCATCCTCTTCTGTTTAATAGCTACACCTGTGTATTGTTTCAGATTCAATAGTGGCCAGAAAATGTCCTTCCACTTATTTAATAACCTGAAATGTAAATAAACATGACCAGTGAATCATCCTCTTCTGTTTAATAGCTACACCTGTGTATTGTTTCAGATTCAATAGTGGCCAGAAAATGTCCTTCCACTTATTTAATAACCCAGGCATACATTAATTTGATTAGCTCTCTTACTAAGATAGTCGTAAAGTGCCATACGTTAACATTAACTTACGACTCTATCTTAGCGCTAAGAGAAATGTAAATAAACATGACCAGTGAATCATCCTCTTCTGTTAAAATTTTTTAGATTCTAGTGCCAGAAAATGTCCTGAAATGGAAATAAACATGACCAGTGAATCATCCTCTTCTGTATAATAGCTACACCTGTGTATTTTTTCAGATTCAATAGTGGCCAGAAAATGTCCTTCCACTTATTTAATAACCTGAAATGTAAATAAACATGACCAGTGAATCATCCTCTTCTGTTTAATAGCTTACCTGTGTAGCTACACCTGTGTATTGTTTCAGATTCAATAGTGGCCAGAAAATGTCCTTCCACTTATTTAATAACCTGAAATGTAAATAAACATGACCAGTGAATCATCCTCTTCTGTTTAATAGCTACACCTGTGTATTGTTTCAGATTCAATAGTGGCCAGAAAATGTCCTTCCACTTATTAAATAACCTGAAATGTAAATAAACATGACCAGTGAATCATCCTCTTCTGTTTAATAGCTACGCCTGTGTATTGTTTCAGAGACAAAAAACAAAACAATCCACAAGACAGCATCACAAGAAGGATGACTTAAACCTTCCAATAGTCCACATTCATTTAGTCAACAATATCCAACAACTTCAGCCTATTTCACTGTGATACTTAATTATCGGTATATCGTAACCTCACAGTACAATGCTTTCGTCCACAGTTTCATAATTTAGACAATAATCAGATTGTCTATGTTGGTGTTTACTCCTCGTACGAAATAAACCTTACTATTCGACTTTTGGTGATAATAACTTTTCAGTACCAGCTTCTCGAGTTTTACTGAATGTATTCAGTATAAGAATTGCCATTGCACAAATGAAGAGGCTTGAATTAAAGTGAGAGAGTGAGTTTGGTTTTACGCCGCTTTTAGCAATATCACGGCGGGGGACACCAGAAATGGGCTTCACACAATGTACCCATGTCGGGAATCGAACCCGGGTCTTCGGCGTGACGAGCGAACGCTTTAATCAAAAGGCTACTCTGCCGCCCAGCTTGAACATGAATTAAAGACATAAGTAAGCACCTTATTACTTTTGAAGATTTAATAGTCATGGAAGACTCTTCTTAACGTTGTCAGTACATCAGCATTCACATTTTAACTAATAGCTTCGGGTTTAGTCCGTTTAACGCAGGGTTGGTATAGTTAATTAACACAGGTTATGTAGCGGTTAATAGTAAACATGGCTGTTCTCATAAATGTTTACAATTCATCGTCAATATCCAAAAGGTAGACGCTAGTCTAGGCGCCAAAGGTCAAAGCACCAACATTCAATGTACATATACCAACACCATCTTAGGTCAACCTTGACCTGTGCACGTGGAGATGACATGGACAAGGTTGTGGGAGATGAAATTGTGGTTTGGTCATCACAGCCAGGTGGTCAAGTAGGAAGATGTCGTTTTTACATTACATTAGCATTACATTAGCATAAAAGAGAATGAACATTACCTAGTCATTGAGGTTGTCTGACGCGAACATTCTTAATTGACTGCTAACGGCTCGGTATAGTGATGATTGGTGACCTTGCATTGTCCTGAATGACCTTGCATTGCCCTGGATGACCTAGCTAACACATAAACAATTTGTGAACAATACATCTTCAAAATCTGTTAGCTTGGAAACATATTCTGATCTCCTATTCTGGTCAACATGGTTAATAAAAAGTCACTCTAATACCCAAGAATGATTTTCTATGGTTAAGAAACCAATAATTCGATTCATATAAAATCAATTAAATCAATGTTCTCTGGATGACTGGCATATCAGTTCTTAATTCACCTCTTTGTCTGGGAAATTACCAAATTACTATTCTCTGAAATTGAAGTCACTGATTTCATAATTTGGTAATCATAGTTCATAATTGTAATTTTAAAGGCATTTCAACTGCTCTATACGAATCCGTCGTGGTTGTGAAATACGCAATGCATTCAAAAAAAATTTATTTGAACCACTCAGAAACAACCAAATGTATTTGTGAATTTAATGTAAAGAAAAAGATATTTCATTTATGTAAAGTATCAACATTAAGATGGCGATACATTTACCATGCATCAAGCTATGATATTCATCGTAATAAATTCTACAACTCCTTCATTATTTTGAACACGATGTATCATTGGCCCGCGGCCTGAAAGTATTAAGGAAAGAATGCATCTGCCTATGTGTCACTATCTAATAATAATTGTGGCAATACTCGATCCAAGGAAGCTTAATGTTTATTTATGAGCGTATGAGCTCGAACCGGTACATATCTTTCAATGCATATGAAACCTGGTTACCTCCCTTGTATCATATCACGACTGATGCCTCCATATTCAATACAGTCACTCAAAGAGTGGTTCCCCAAGCTGGACCAGTGATCACATCTACCATTCCTACATCTGCAGCATCAGTGTCAAGCCATCCATCATGATCCGTGGTGTAGTGGTTAGAGCGTCCGCCCGGAGAGCGGAAGGTCGCGGGTTCGATCCCCAACCACGTCATACCAAAAGACGTAAAAATATGGTACTTGTTGGTCCCTGCCTGGCGCTCGGCATTAATGGGTACAACAAGGACTGGTCGGCTCGGAGTCAGTATAATGTGTCTGAGTGGGGTATTCATGCTTCACTGCGGCATGGTATCTCAGTGGGCTAGCACTATAAAACCAGCTTCAGTCTTGGCTAGTACAAGCAGCCGCACATACACATACACACGCATGCACGTCGTCATATGAGCGAAATATTCTCAAGCACGACGTTAAACCCGATTTCACCTCACCTTCATGAGTTTGCGATTGAAACGGAAGAAAATGCAGCTTCAAAGTCAGGGAACATCCACGTCAACTTACATGTTCAGGTTTTCAAATTTATAACAAAATAAATGACATGATTGTCCAGTGAATCTAGATTTATATGAACATTACCCTGTAGTAGCAACATATTAATATGATTAACTGTGACCAATACCCAGTGCGGACTGGTAGCCATGTTACACAATGACGCCGTCTATGCTGCCGGAAAAATATATTATAGGCAAGAAAATTGGATTTGACTAAGATGGTACAATCGTTATCGAAATCTTACTGACTTGGACATATCCAGAAGTACTGTTGTGAGATGGTCATTGGCATGACTGGGGTAGCCCCAAATAGAGGCCTTAACAGTAATTGTCCGGCAGGGGCCGGTTCTGTGTTCTAGAAGGATATTTGACCGGTATTTTTGACCGAGATGCGAGTTTATAGACAAGCAGTTTCCGTACTTACATATAGACATTAACTGTATGTAAGCAAAGGACATTGTCATAAGAAAGAGAATTGGTCTCACTTGATAACGAATTGTACTCAGTCTGTGTTTGTCTGAGGGATCTATGAAGATATCACCCCTCTCAAACATGTCAGATATACACGTAAAAAAGTAGGGGAACCTGAGCTTTCAGTTTGGATAGGAAGTATAAGCGTTAACAAAATTTTCAAACACACACAATTATCCATTTCTCTTTAACACCACCCCTAAACACAACGCATGGGATACACGTGCACAACGCAGTAGACCCATACACGTGCATGGGGTGTCTTTCTTGATTTTGACGTTAGTGTTTGTTTCGAGGCGGGTTTTTTTGTTTTTGTTTTTTTTTTTTGTTTTGTGGTTGGTTGGTTGGTTGAAAATGAAAAACGTACAAATGCAAATTTCACGTCTTACACCAATCATCATTCAAGAGCAATTACTGTACAAACAACTACAGTCATAAGAAAGTGCAAGTGGTGATGCACTCTCAAAATATTCATTATCAAATCAACAATGATTGACTCCGATATATCTGGCAATGTTATTTCAAATGTAAACTAAAAATGAATTTCCCCTACATTTCTAAAGAGTATATAATATAGTTGGCGTCGTGGAAATTGTATCTCTGACATACAGTGTCACTCCAGTCAATAAACACCGTGGTAGCGAATCAGGCCCTTTAACACTGCTGAGGAGTTTACTTCGTTCAACACTTCACACGCAAAACGTGGACAGTACATATTGTAAACTGAGTGTGTGAGGAGAAGGTAACGTGGCTTTGAACACTATTCCAGATAGGCTACAGGCTGTAACACCATCCCACGACCATTGGTTTCCAAAGAATGTACTGCTTTTTATATCTTAATTTTCCTGTTAACCAATACCCGTGGCGCAGTGTCTTTCATTGACATACTCCGTTTGTTTTAACTAACTGCCTTCCTTCGTAGGCCGTGCTCAGAAGACACAAATTCTATTTTCGTTCTATATGAAGTAACCTTTGTATTGATTGAGTTGAATTAATAAACAGGTTATGAATATTTACAATGCATTTAGTCTGAGGCGGGGTGTAAACAGTATCTACAGAAAATTGGATTAACAATTATCTTGTTCATTCTTTGCATTAGAGGTGAGAAATTGATGACACTCTGAGTTGAGTGCTATTTAATTCAGTCTAGAGGATGTAATCTTCTTGAAATACATATATTATGATTCTTCTAGGGTCTTTATGAGATTATACACTGTTTACGGCTGATGAAATCGGTTTTCATAAATTTGTTTTTTCACTCAACAATGCAAAAATGTATTCAGTAAGGCAATATGATTTTATAGAAATCACTAATCATTCAGTTTCAATACATATTTGACCGAAATCAATTTGCTCCGAATCCCATGTTTTGTCACGCAACCCCAATCTATTAATTATGTCATATTGCTAAACGCAATCTAACATCATTGAACAAATATGATATGCAAGTCTTCTTTGTTCCTATAATCAATGTTATCGGATAGCGTACATGTATGGCATGTCTTTCATATTTCTATTATCATTGTTCTTGGATAAGACACGTCTTCTTTGTTTCTATAATCACTGTTATCGGATAGTTTATGGCAAGTCTACTTCATTTCTATAATCACTGTCATGGAATAGCGTATGACACGTCTTCTTTGTTTCTATAATTCTTGTTATTGGAACAGTTCTTATACCAGTCCCGACACCTAACCCAAATACAGTTCCGTGTAAACATGTGTCCTTGTCTGAACGAACAATGGATACAAGGAAGTGTGACCCTCTTCTTGAAGAGTTCTTCGTGGTATTCAACAAATTGGCGCTACACCCATTTCACTCAATACTTCACTTTCGTTATGAATATTACAAATCAAACAGACCCAACCTTAACACACCCTAGAGGTTCTTACAATTATACATACACTAATGCTGTGTTAATGTGTATGTAGACCAGGCGCACGATGAGTTGACCGACATGATGACAGGAAAGGTGATGTGTCATTGCCACAACCCGTTTTACACGGACGAACGGTTCTTTTATGAGTTTCTTCAATACCTGTGTACAACTACAAGTGAACGCCCCATCATACACTGTAGGGATACAGTAAACATGACCGATATTATTAAGTAGCCAAAGGCCAGGACTGTTTCGTAAATTTTGTAAGAGCCTAAACATTATTACACATTTAAAGAGATGTAACACGAAACGTTAACACAAGAGAATAAGTCTTGGTCATCTGCTGGAACAAACCCCCTTGGGTTAAAGGCCAAATGGTGATGAAAACTATATAAGAGTAAATTAAAGAAGACGCCAGGTGTTTGCGAGAAAGGTCAGCGGATCCTGCTGTTGGTATACATCAACATTTGGCTCTATAAGTAACCCCCTCTGGTGCTAACTCAGTGGTGTAGGTTATGACAATGTGAAACTAGGGTTTGCGATTTATATTGGTAGTGGCCACGATCAATGTCTTTCCGGGAGGAATAACTAACGGCAGCTTACACTTCGAGTTTTCATTGCTTTCCAGACAAGTGGCAAAACACATTCATGTGGTATTCAAGAGAAGGCGGTTCACACCCGCATGTATGTTCTTACACGTTGATCTAGAGAGCAGGAGGTAAACTTTGAAATATAGTTATTTAAGTATACTTCAACGTTTAATGATGACTAGAACTGAAACAAATATGGAATGGTCCTACGACGGTAATGTACATGTATTAGACACGGGTATCAAAATGTCTGGTTTTAACTTTATGTTTGCAGAGTTTCGGTGCTGTTTGCCAATCAATGTTTGATAACGGTCGTAATTTATCAATACAGGCCACTTTTCAATCGTATACTTTCTTTTACTCGTCAGTTTAGATGTATCATATATAGCTTTTGAGTGCTGCAAATTATCGTAATTACACTGTAAGATACATTTCCAATTGAATCGTCGTTTGGCAGTCTCCGTACAGCGGTAATAGTTGTGAATGCTATATCAGGAAATGTTTTTTGTGAGTCGGGCTGTTGCCTTATTTGTGAAATTGTGTAGCTGGTGAAGCGCCCATAAACATTCTGAGTCCGGTTACGGAACCGTGAGATCCGAGGTCTGACTGCACATGACCATAACGGCAAACTGAAAGGATGTCACGTGCTACAAGAACCCCGTCAACAGGAAGAAAGGTTAACCCCGCCGGCAAGTGACATGGTAACGATATCCCTTTTATTTCGTCACTGAGATATG